CTTATAGTATTAGAAAAACAGACCAAAACACAAAAACTTAACATTGAACAATGAACCATGAAAATAGGTCAAGGACAAATGACACCTGCCAGACAGACATGTACACCTTACAATCATTCCATACACCAAATATAGTTGACCAATGGCTTATAGTATTAGAAAAACAGACCAAAACACAAAAACTCAACATTGACCAATGAACCATGAAAATGAGGTCAAGGTCAGATGAAACCTGCCAGACTGACATGTACACCTTACAATCATTCCATACACCAAATATAGTTGACCTATTGCTTATAGTATTAGAAAAACAGACCAAAACACAAAAACTTAACATTGAACAATGAACCATGAAAATAGGTCAAGGACAAATGACACCTGCCAGACAGACATGTACACCTTACAATCATTCCATACACCAAATATAGTTGACCAATGGCTTATAGTATTAGAAAAACAGACCAAAACACAAAAACTCAACATTGACCAATGAACCGTGAAAATGAGGTCAAGGTCAGATGAAACCTGCCAGACTGACATGTATCCCTTATAATCATTCCATACACCACATATAGCTGACCTACTGCTTGTAGTATCTGAGAAACGGACCTAATCACGTAACTTTAACCTTGATCACTGATCCATGAAATGAGGCTGAGGTCAGGTGAACCCTGTCTGATGGACATGTAGACGTTGCAAGGAACCCATATACCAAATATAGTTATCCTATTACTCATAATAAGTGAGAAATTTACATAACAAAAAAACTAAACTTTTTTTTCAAGCAGTCGCTGAACCATGAAAATAAGGTCAAGGACATTGGACATATGACAGACGGAAAGTTCGTAACATAAGGTATCTGCATACAAAGTATGAAGCATCCAGGTCTTCTACCTTCTGAAATATAAAGCTTTATACAAAAAGTTTACGCCGCCGCCGCCGGATAGTAATACCTATGTCTCACTTTCTGCGACTTTCGTCTCAGGCGAGACAAAAACTGCAAAATTTCCTTAAAACAACTAATTTAGTGGCAGCAACCCAACAACGGGTTGTTCGGTGTGTCTGAAAAAAGATCTTGACCTTTTGAACATTTTTACCCCATGTCAGATTTGCTCTAAATGCTTTAGTTTCTGAGATATAAGCCAATAAAATGCTTCGCTGGGGCGCAGCTTGATACGACCGCAGAGGTCGAACCCTGAACAGTTGGGGCAAGTATGGACACAACATTCAAGCTTGATACAGCTCTGAATTTGGATTGTTATTAAATATTTGACACAGCATAGGTTTCTGACACAGAAAGAATGTGGTCTAAGAACTTGAATTTTTTTAATTTACCTATTATGGTCCAATGTCCAAAATCAAAATACATGGTTAGATTCAGCATGTCAAAGAACACCATATATTCAATTTTTGTTAAAATCAAACAAAGTTTAATTTTGGACCCCAACTTGGACAAACTTGAAAACTGGGCCCATAATCAAAAATTTAAACACATGTTTAGATTCAGCATATCAAAGAACCCCAAGAATTCAATTTTTGCTAAAATCAAACTAAGTTTAATTTTGGACCCTTTGGACCTTAATGTAGACCAATTTAAAAAATGGGACTTAAAATTAAATATCTAAATACACGGTTAGATTTGGAATATCAAAGAACCCCAATAATTCAATTTTTGATGAAATCAAACAAAGTTTAATTTTGGACCCTTTTGACCTCAATATGAACCAATTTGATAGCGGGGCCCACAAATAAAAATTCTAAATTCATGGTTAGATTCAGCATATCAAAGAACCCCATATATTCATTTTTGTTGAAATCAAAAAAAGTTTAATTTTGGACCCCAACTTGGACCAACTTGAAAATTGCGCCCATAATCAAAATCTAAATACATGTTTAGATTCAGCATATCAAAGAACCCCAAGAATTCAATTTTTGTTAAAATCAAACTAAGTTTAATTTTGGACCCTTTGGACCTCAATGAAGACCAATTTAAAAAACGGGACCCAAATTAAAAATCTAAAAACACGGTTAGATTTGGCATATCAAAGAACCCCAATAATTCAATTTTAGATGAAATCAAACAAAGTTTAATTTTGGACCCTTTTGACCTCAATATGAACCAATTTGATAGCGGGGCCTACAAATAAAAAATCTAAATACATGGTTAGATTCAGCATATCAAAGAACATCATATATTCAATTTTTGTTGAAATCATACAAAGTTTAATTTTGGACCCCAATTTGGACCAACTTGAAAACTGGGCCCATAATCAAAAATCTAAATACATGTTTAGATTCAGCATATCAAAGAACCCCATATATTCAATTTTTGTTGAAATCAAACAAAGTTTAAATACTGGACCCTATCTTGGACCAACTTGAAAACTGGGCCCATAATCAAAAATCTAAACACATGTTTAGATTCAGCAAATCAAAGAACCCCAAGAATTCAATTTTTGTTAAAATCAAACTAAGTTTAATTTTGGACCCTTTGGACCTCAATGTAGACCAATTTAAAAAACAGGACCCAAAATTAAGAACCTAAATACACGGTTAGATTTGGAATATCAAAGAACCCCAATAATTCAATTTTAGATGAAATCAAACAAAGTTTAATTTTGGACCCTTTTGACCTCAATATGAACCAATTAGACAACGGGGTCCACAAATAAAAAATCTAAATACATGGTTAGATTCAGCATATCAAAGAACCCCATATATTCAATTTTTGTTGAAATCAAGCAAAGTTTAATTTTGGACCCCAATTTGGACCAACTTGAAAACTGGGCCAAAAATCAAAAATCTAAATACATGTTTAGATTCAGCATATCAAAGAACCTCATATATTCAATTTTTGCTAAAATCAAACAAAGTTTAATTTTGGACCCTTTGGACATTAATGTAGACCAATTTGAAAACTGGACCCAAAATTAAAAATCTAAATACACTGTTAGATTCGGCATAACAAATAAATAAATGTGATCAAAGATTTTACAAATCTAATGCGCCATACTGTGCAATTAAAGATTACTTCTTGAAATTTTTCAATATTTGAAATTTGAAAAAAAAATAATATTTGAAGAATAATTCTTTTTAATTTCTGAAATCTGAAATGAGAAAAAATTGGCCCCCCACAATTTCTTTTTATCCCCCCCCCCTTTTTCCCCCAAAAAAATTCTTTCCCTCAAGATATAGTCATAATCTCAATTCAAATTTCCAATGGAGTTGGCAACCATAATTACCCATTTAAATTTACCATAGTGCTAACTTAATCTATTTTATAATAGAATTAATAAAAATATAGTGTCAAATCTTTCATATGGATTTTTTTGTAAAAAAAAAAGATGAAAACATTTGCAGATATTTTTACTGGTCTTCCTTTATAAATATGCATTTCTTTAAACATAATTTAAAAGCAGAGTAAGGGAAGTAACCAAAACGTTGTATTTGGATTACCTCCCTTACACTGTTTTAGATTATCTTTATTGTTCATTAACCATTACTTTATACATAATTTAAAAGCAGTGTAAGGGAGATAATTTCAATGATGTATTTGATTTATCTCCCTTACACTGCTTTAAATTATGTTTTGTACTAAAGTATTTGTCCATTAACCAGGACAACCTTGTTTTTCCCACTTTTTTGCCCCTAATTCCTAAACGGTTTGAGCCATAACCCCCCAAAGCAAATCCTAACCATCCCTTTGTGGTATGGAAACTTGTAGTATAATTTCAGAGAGATCCATACACCGTTCCACAGTTATTGTCTGGAAACTAGAAAATGCTCATTTTTGGCCCCTTTTTGGCCCCTAATTCCTTAACTGTTGGTACCATAACCCCCAAAATCAATCCCAACCTTCCTTTTGTGGTATTTAACCTTATGGTCAAATTTCAAAAAGATCCATTCACTTAAACTAAAGTTAGAGTGCGAAAACCAATATGTATTCGGACGACAACGCTGGACGACGACGACGACGACGACGACGACGCCAACGTCATACCAATATACGACCACAAAATTTTTTTGCGGTCGTATAAAAACTGCATTTCACCCCTATGTTCTATTTTTAGCCATGGTGGCCATGTTTGTTGATGAATCAAAATTTCGGATACATTCATAAACTGGATTCCTAAAGGAACATTCATTGAAGTTAAGAAGTATTAGGCACAATAGTTTCAGAAGAGAAGATTTTTAAATGTTTAAAACTTCTTGAACAAATTGTGTAAAATTGTCTTTAAAGGGCAATAACTCCTTAAGGGGTCAATTGACAATTTTGGTCATAGAAACTTTTTTGTAGATCTTACTTTGCTGAACATTATTGCTGTTTACAGTTTATATCTATCTATAATAATATTCAAGATTATAACAAAAAACTGCAAAATTTCCTTAAAACTACCAATTTAGTGGCAGCAACCCAACAATGAGTTGTTCGATTCGTCTGAAAATTTCAGGGCTGATAGATCTTGACCAATTGAACAATTAAACCCCATGTCAGATTTGCTTTAAAAGCTTTAGTTTTTGAGATATAAGCAAAAAACTGCATTTGACCCCTATGTTCTATTTTTAACCATGGCAGCCATGTTTGTCGATGGATCAAAACTTCGGATACAATTTATAAACTAGATACCCTAAGGAACATTTAATTAAAGTTTGAAGGTATTTGGCCAAGTAGTTTCAGAGGAGAAGATTTTTGAAATAGTTTACGACGACAGACGACAACGACAGACGACGGACGCCAAGTGATGGCATAAGCTCACATGGGGCCCTTCGGGCCCCCGTGAGCTAAAAAGTAGAGATACTTTTCAACTCTTTGAAAATCTTGCTTAATCTGTCAGCAGAAAAGATAAAAGATGAAGGTAAACATATAGACTTATTGCTAGCAAAGCTTAACCCAAAATCAGTGTTTCACAAAAAAAATCAGAAGACATTTACTGGGAGGTATGTACTGTAGATGTATTGCAAAGGTCTTTTTTAAATGTTTAATCAACAAACAAAGAAACTTCTAATTTGTAGTAAATTTATTACTTTTTGCATGTCATAGTATTAACACATCATATAGTATAACAATTCTATAACATTCATTCATCATTATTACATATATTCATAACTTTTATCATAAAGGTAACATATATGTGCAACACTTTATATGCATGATTCTGATTGGCTGATTCAATCTACAAGGGAGATAAACGATGATAACGAAACACGATTTTCAGTCTGAAATGATAAATGGTCTAAAATCAGGTGCCTATTAAACTTCTAACTACATGTGCTCATTCATGCATAAAATAAATGAATTGACGGGATTCTTTGTAGCAGAGTTTTTCCTTGTTGCACAAAATTAACAAGAATTAAACACTTGGCCAAAATCAATTTTTTAGTGCAAGCACACAATTACCAATTTACAGATATGAAATGGATTCATAAGAGAATATAGTGATATACTCCCATTAAATACTGGTATATAGGAAATCATACGAACAAAACTTTCAATAAATATGCATTTGCGTATATGTAAATTATTCCAGCAACTCCAAAACTCAAAATTCAAAAGCTACAAGCATTCCTCATCTTTGAAGTAACTGGATGGTCCCAAAAAATGTACAAGAAACTCGTCACTTTACAAAAACATTAAGACCCAATGGTTGGCTTAAAACTATTCTATGGCAACCTCTATAAATATTTTTGAAAGCACTCATACAGAACTAACATAAATTTGCATAAAATAATTGTTGAAGTCTTCCTGGAAATAATGTCAACCTTCACCCTACAATGTTCTTTTTTTGTTTTTATTTTCAGAAGAAAAAAAATACAGCAAAGGAACTTTTACTTAAACAAACAATAGAACTGATGCATTATATATAAAAACATTTAGTTTCTCCATGACTGTCATCAAGCAGAATGAAAATATAAAATAAAATATAAATTGCACCAATAATTCCATTAGAAAATATCCCCAACCCATGAAAACTAAAAGTGGCACTGATTTCATGAAGAAAGAAACTCCACACAAGATATCAAACCAACTTCTGTAAATTCAGAAATTATTGCAAGGTTTTTTACTCATGCCAATTATGCAACTGACGCAATAATAAGGACTGGAATTTTGATACCTGATACATATATCTAAATTAACGATCTTGCTCCTTTGTAAATTTTGTACTCTAATTTAATTTACAATTTCAATATCCAACGAAAATTGTTTAAAAAGTTTTAAAAAGCACTGAAGTGGTGGCATGTACTCATCTCAACCAGAAGTCTAGGTGAGACGAGAATATCTTGGTGAATAACAACTGTGTGACAGTTAACTAACAACACAACAGGCAAATAGATTGTCAACTTCATATATATACTTCTTATGTAAACTCAACCTGTTAATTTGTATATAAATAAAATCATCATATATACTAGGATTAAAATATTTAACTGAAGACGTGTGTTTCATCTACAAAAGATTCATCAGTGATGCTCAAATCATAAAAGTTGAAAAGAACCCCAAAAAATTTACTTTAAGTGACAATTTTTATTCTTAAAAAGAAATGATGAAATAAGTTTTAACAGTTAGATATTGATTTTATTCCATTTTGACCATACATGTATTAGAACTTGTAAAAAATTAACAATATTTTTATTGGAATTTAATCAAATTAGACACTAAATCTTAAATAACTCGTAAAAAATAAACAATACTTTTATTGGAACTTTATTCCAAATCAAACTGCCAGTAAAACAATCTTACTGCCGTGAAAAAATGTTTTTAATCTGTTTGAAAACATTTGAAATCTGGGGCCATTATATAATTAAAACAATCATTGTTATGACATGTTCATTTACAAAATGAATGAATAATTACAATAAAAACATTTCTAGGCAATTATATACATAGTGTACAAAAAAACTTAACAATTTAACATTGCACTTTTGTTACTATGGAAACAGTTTTATAAAATGACAAGATATTAAGTTAAAATTTGACAAATACTTGAACATTTATCACATAATTTGATATTTAACAATAATTCTAACATGTCATCAAGCAGGTGTTATATTTTACAGGGGAAATAAACCACCATAATAATTCAAGAAAAAAACATGGCTACTGAAAAATGAACCTTTGCATTAAGGGTTGCTAAGTTACCTAATGTAAAGGGAAACAACTAGATTAACAAGTGCTCTTTCTTTGATCCAACATATGATAGATATATAGTTTTTTTCAGTAATATTCCACCCTCCTGCATAAGCCAGGGAAATCTAGCATTGAACATGGAATATTACGTTTTTTGAAAGAAAAGCACTTAATCCCCTTTAATTAGCGGGATGACCTGGGGCAAAAATAAAATCAATATATATTGAAATATATTCCAGCACAATTTCACATTTGTACACATTTTTGAAAGTGGACATTTTCACTAATTTGCACCACATACTGCAATCAATAAAAAATTAAGAAGCAAAAATTGCTGAAAGCGGTAATATTAAATAACTGACAAAAATGTCATTGGTTTTATAAAACATTATTATTTCCCTATTCTGAGGGCTGTTAAAAAAATTCTGGGGAGGGGTGGGAGGCACTCAAGTCAATAAAAAATGGGTAGTCACACTTTCCTTAGAATTTTGTAAGAATTATAAGTAAAATGAAAAACTTTATTTCATGGGTACTCAGGGTCTTACAAATAGCCTCCCATGTCCCCCCCATGAGTTTAATTCTGGAACAGCCCTTATACAAAGACTAGCACTTTAAATATCAAATTTGTTCTTTTAAATATGAATGCTGAACTTTCATACTCTGTTTGATTTCTTGATAAAAGTATCAGACCAGTCTCTAGTCTAGCAGACTATTGTGTCTCTCTTCTCTATCTGTTGGTGGGGGCTGGTCCGGCATTGTCGACCTTGTTCCCGCAGTAAGATATCCAGCCACACTTGGTCCTGTTGGCCCTATAAAGATAGAAATCATTTAATACAACTGCTTTCCACTTCATGGTTTATATCAATATTTGGTCCTTTCAGGCCATTTGGAGTGTTTCATAAAATAGTTATTAATCTATTGTCGATTTCATGCTGGAAATCAACGTTATACATTTAGTTTTATAAATGATTTTTTTTTTGGAAATGCTACAACAGGTGCACAAAAGGTCAATAAGACTTTGACATATGGTATGAACTCTTGCTATATGGTGATCTCTTGACATTTAAAATTTGAAATAACAGTGTTTTCTAGGATGCTGTTGCACTGACATTTACCTCATCTTCAACAACATGGCATGTCTCAACAATAAATCTGTTATATCCAGTATCATGTATTGAAGTATACTTTGTCTACAAGAACTTATATATATTTTTTTACACTGCAGCTAGAACACTTCCTATTGTCTTAGGGGTCTTGGTGGCCGAGTGGTCTAAGTAGTCAAACTACTGTATCACAAGCCTGTCAACACTGAGGTTGTGAGTTCGAATCCTGCACATAACAGGTGTGCTTGACTCCAATCTTAATTGACTAGGATTGTCAGTTTTCCTACTGATGGTCGGTGGTTCAATCCAGCTTCCTCTACCAATAAAAACTGGCTGCCACAAAATAGCACAATAGTGTTGAAAGTGGCATTAAACACAAATCAATCAATCAATCCTATTGTCTTTATCTACCAAATTTAGTAACAAAGGGTTATTTTGTGCAATCTCGATTATATGTCATATCACTTTTCTTCACAATCTTGGATTCATTGATGAATGGAAAAAATAAGTTTTATTTTTGTTTTAACATTTTCATTAGTATATTTGTAGCAATTCTCAGATGTAGTATAAAACAATATTAGGTCAATGTCAAAAAATTATCAACTTATTCGTATTCTGTATGAAACTGTTGAAGGGCTGGGTAACCCCCCCCCCCCTCCCCCCCCCCCCCCCCCCCTTTTCCCCCAGTTTCTAAGACTCATACAAAAAAGTTTATATTTTTCTGACCTTGACCTAATATTGTTTATCTTATGGTTGTGACTGTTCATTTTAAGAATGTTTCAAAACCACTTTGAAATCTTTATTTTTTCAATTCAGTTATGAGAAGCTGAGAATGAAATATTAAAAGGGATTTAATATAAATATAGATTATATATCATTCACAAAGGCGTTAATAATTAATAATTATTCATGATTAACTGCACATGAACGATACAGTATAATTGTTCACCATTGTTTTATTCTAAAGAAAATCTATTCTATTTCATGTTACAGATAAAATTGGAAAATATTAACATTTTGAGTATTCAGCCATTTTCAGGGCAAAAGCCAAAAGCAGCATTTATCAAATTCTATCTCAGAATTGCTGAAGATGAAAGACCATGCAAATATTTGAGAAGATGCATTCTGAAGCAAGATCAAAAGTAAAGTCCTTTCTTATCATGCAGTTAAGTGTTTTCATTCAAAAAGAAATGTGAATGATGCAAGCCTTCTATATTACAAACTGCACATGTGAATTAGGACATCAGGAACAGTATTGTAGTCTAAGCTAGGCCAACTTAAAACATAGGTTTTACTGGTGTAAATTTAGTTTAGTTAGCTGAACATAGCCAAGCTATGAAAACAGATATTTGCGTCAGTAAAACAAAGTTTTATTTTGCCCAAGATTGAAATACAATACAGTTATCTCCATTCAAATGCAAAATAGAAAAAAAATTACATTAGATTCATTGTTTTGGTGTTAGAATCTTAAAAAACTTTTTTCTCGCTTTTGGCAGCTAAACTGTATGTCTTCATAGGTACTCTTCCAGCTTAAACTTTAATCACCAGATATTATAGTGCTTTGTGGATGCTTCAGAATTTAATAATTCAAAATGGCTGCTTTCCTTAGTTACAGACAGATAGATTGAACATTTTACGAAGGTCTTTATCCAACCAGATCAATTTATGCCAAAAAACTGCATTAGAATATAAGGTATCAAGTTCTTATTTCACGAACTTCTGACATGTGCCATTATAGCTGGTTCAATATAATGATATTCCTATTTTACAGCCAGTGGTTTTGTACTGGCATTAATTTATCAAAAGAGAAATATCTTGATTGAAACTGTATCAACTACCCTAAAATTGACACTGGTATCTTATAATTGAATCCATTGATAAATTAGTATTGAGCTTAAGGATGTATGATCTGGTTGTAGATGTTATTTTTAAAAAGGCTTAGGAATGTTTGCTACTCTGTTTCAAAATAACAAGCTCTTTAAAAGTCTGATATAAATTGAAAGTTAATGAATAAAGGAACTGAAAAAGCTGAAATAAAATGCTACGCTGGGCACAGCTTGATACGACCGCAGAGGTCGAACTCTGAACAGTTGGGGCAAGTATGGACACAACATTTAAGCTTGATACAGCATTGAATTTGGATTGTGATTAAATATTTGACACAGCATAGGTTTCTGACACAGAATGAATGTGGTCTAAGAACTTAAAAATTTTTAATTTACCTATTCAAACCATATCATAATTATTTGCTTTTATATATAAATAAGAAATAACCAATTTAAAATGGAAAATTTTAAAGAAAAAAAAAAGGAACCCCCCCCCCTCAATTTTTTGAACCCCTTATGATTCATCACCCCAAACTCAATCCCAGCCTACCCAATGTGGTATGGTACCTTGCAGTACAATTTCAGAGAGATCCATACACTTGAACACAAGTTATTGTCTGGAAACTAGAAAAATGCTTGTTTTTTGGCCCCTTTTTGGCCCCAAATTCCTAAAACTTCAGGGCAATTACCCCCAAACTCAAACCCAGCTTTCCCATTGTGATATGGAACCTTGTAGTACAATTTCATAAAGATCCATACACTTACACACAAGTTATTGTCCTGAAACTAGAAAAATGCTTGTTTTTTTACCCTAATTCCTAAAATTTTGAGGCAATTACCCCCAAAATCAATCCTAGCCTTCCCTTTGTGGTATGGTACCTTGCAGTACAATTTCAGAGAGATCCATACACTTGAACACAAGTTATTGTCTGGAAACTAGAAAAATGCTTATTTTGACCCCTTTTTCCTAAACGTTTTTGGCAATTACCCCCAAACTCAATTCCAGCTTTCCCTTTGTGATATGGAACCTTGTAGTACAATTTCATAAAGATCCATACACTTACACATAAGTTATTTTCATGAAACTAGAAAAATGCTTGTTTTTTGGCCCCTAATTGCTAAAATTTTGAGGCAATTCACCCAAAATCAATCCCAGCATTCCCTTTGTGATATGTAACCTTGTGGTACAATGTCAGAGAGATCCATACACTAAAACACAAGTTATGTCTGGAAGTTACAAAAAATTAATCCCAACCTTCCTTTTGTGGTATTGCACCTTATGGTAAAATTTCAAAGAGATCCATGCACTTAAACTAAAGTTAGAGTGTGAAAACCAATGTGTCTTCGGACGACGACGACGACGCCAACGTCATACCAATATTTGACCGCAAAAAAATTAAAATAGAAGGGTCCATGTGCATGTTTTTGAGATATAAGCCACTAAAAATTTGGCGGGAAGTTATTTTCTCTTAGATTTTTCATACATTTAACATTGGCACCTTTTTTCATTCAAAAACTATGAAAAAATAACAAGGATTTTATAAGATTCAAATATGGCTTTTTTAAACTATATGTTTTAAATTATAAAAAGAAAAGTAGGGGTTTGCTGCCAAAATTTTTATTGGCACTACATGGATAAAACTAGAGGATTCCGAACATTTGACAAAAATTCAATAACAATAGGAGCGAACTTGCTTAAAACAAAGATAGAGATTTTCTATATACAACAATGTACCTTGGATTCATTATTATTCATGTGATACCAATTTCAGAGAATTTGTGGGTATAGGTGGACTACAAATTTTCTATAGGCTTATATGCAGACTTTCCGAAAACCACAAAATCAAATATCCAAGAAAATGAATTGACAGTAAGCTGAGCAGTAGATATCATTGGAATTAACAAACTAGAGGCCCTAAAGAGCTTGTGTCACTCACCTGCACCTTGAACAATGGCTACTTATTAGAAAAAATCATCATTATAGGGGAATAACTCTGTTAAGAGATAACTGACAATGCCAGTCATATTAACATATTTTTAGATCTTATCCTGCTGATCATTTTCCCTTTTAAAGTTCCTATTCATCTATTATAATTTTCAAGATAATAGGCTTAACACGGCAAAATATGGTAAAAATTATCATTAAAGGCAATAACTCCAATAATGAGTCGACTGAAAAATTCAGCCATGTGGCTTATTTGTAGATCTTGCCTTACTGATCATTTTTGCTATTTAAAGTTTCTATCTTACTATTATAGTTTTCAATATAATAGACAGAAAAATTATTATTAAAGGGCAATAACTTCAATAAGGAATTGACTTAGATTCTGTCTTGATGATCATTTTTGCTGTTTAAAGTTTCTGTCTATCTAAAATAATTTTCAAGATAATAGGCAAAAATGAAAAAAATTGGCATCTGACAGTTTTGATGTCATAGTCATTAAGTAGATCTAATCATTCAGAATATTATCCCTCTGTCCGATTTTCTCCGTGGTTCTCAAGATAATAGACAAAAGTTGCATTTTCCCCATTGTTCTATTTTTAGCCATGTCGGCCATGTTGTTTGCAGACACATATTTAAACAAGATACCACATTGATTTGATTTGATTTTTGGTGTTTTAACGCCACTTTTAAGCACCGCTTTTGGGCTATTTCGTGGTGGCCAGTTTTTATTGGTGGTTGAAGCCGTAGCGCAAGGAGAAAACCACCAACCTTCGATAGGAAAACTGACTATCCTAGTCAATTAAGATTGGAGTCGAGTGCACCCACACGAGCGGGGTTCGAACTCACAACCTCAGTGTTGACTGGCTAGTGATTACAGTAGTAACTACTTAGACCACTCGGCCACCGAGGCCCTGATACCACATTGATGAGTGTGACCAAGTTTGGTTAAATTTAGCACAGTAGTTTCAGAGGATATGATGTTTATAAAATTTAACGGACAACGACAGACGACGGACGCCAAGTGATTGGAAAAGCTCACCTGGCCCTTTGGGCTAGGTGAGCCAAAAAGTGAAAAAAATTACAGTACTTAAATAGAATTTAAACAGAAAAGCAAACTGTTTGCATCAACAATGACTAAAGCCTTCAAGCCATAGAATAGATATATTATTTATCTTGCATATATACAAAGCTTCATTTCCACAAGCATAATATGATTCTCTCTCCGTCTGTATATAATTCTATGCAATGTTAGTACATATTTCTGGTTATATTTGTCTAATTCAAAACACACAAACACACACAAATTAGTTTAGATTATCATACATATAGGAAAGCATTCAACCGTATAGCCTTTCACCAAAGAAACTTTCACACAGACACACATAGATTTTTCTGCAAACCCACCCTTAATGAGACAAAAACACAATGCAATCTTTTCTATACCAACATTTGATATAGATCAAACAGGATGCAATCTTTCACAAACATACATATCATTTATACTTCACATTACTGTGGCATGTGACAGATAACATATTTAATATACAATAATTTTGAATATACATGTAATTTAAAAAGCAATATATCACAACTTAAGCAATTCTATATCTAATGGTTGTATCAAATTACATCTGGCCTTGCGGTTATAAAACTTTTAAGAAGAAAACCTTAAGACTCAGAAATCAACCAATCAAAATTATTCGATTTGTCATTTCGAGCATGAATTTTGTATTCTGAGTATTGAGTAAAGTTTTATGACCGGGTCCCTGATCTTCAATTCTGTGATCATCATTAATTTCAATCAACCAAATTTGTATCATTATGAGCCTAGTGCTTGATTTTCAGACATGATCTTACTCTTAGCTCAAAAGTGTTTAATTATAACTTGTGCTTTTTTTTTATTGACTTACTTTAATATAGCTTTTTTGGTGGGACGGGTTAAAAATATGTTCCAGGAATAATCAAGAAAAAGAATTTTAGTTGTAAGGATTGTATCGAAGAAGAAGTAAAAAAAAATCTTTGTTAGAAATGAACAAACACACAGCAGCACTGCCTGAAGTGAAGTATAAAGAATAGTAAACAGTTGTTTAGTAAACATATCTTGTGTATACACAAAGCAGCACACATATAAAGTAAGTGTGGAAAATTTACCTGCTTTTCCTTCTGTTAAAACAGAACAATAGCAAAGTATAGTACATTTATCTTTTCTTAAGGACGCAGTGTCAGTTACAATAACAAAGAAAAACAATTTCTTGGTCCAAGGAACCATATTATTTAATTTATGTTTTAGCTTGATGTAAAGGTTCTGACATTCAACTGAACATAAGTCATAATATTTAAAAATATGATCTGAATTCACTGAACCATGAACTATGGATCATGTGTTCTTCATCTTTTGGTCATACCTCAAAGATGTATCAGACATAAAGCATCAATCCATCATCATCATTAAAGATGTATCTGCACACCAAATTATATGTCTGTATATATCTTTTTTCTGAGAACTGGCTGCAGATTACAATGAATGTACTGTAAACTTGAAAATTTAGCACTGTCTTTTATTCTTGTTTGCCGACTGAATTCAAATTCACGTAAATTTTTGTAAGGTTTTGGTCATATGAATCGAGCTCCAATGAAGTAATTGTGGTAGTTTATTTTCGCTTATCAGCACTTTTCACAAATATAGCAAAAATAAAAATTGCCATGAATATTTCCCTGTTTACAGTATTCATCCTTTTCATCTGTATATCTGGTTATATAATTATATAATTTCTCACCTGTAAGGTAGCCTGCTATTGGTGTATCTGATATAAATAGGTCATGTTTCTGATCCTTATAATCTCGCCATACTGTGGACTTTTCTAAAATACCAGTTATCTATAAATAAACATAAAAAAACGTTTAAATTGGATGGACTTAAAGAAATTAATACTATAAGTTAATTTTGGTTTATACTGTGAGTCAAAACATATCAATAAATTGTTCTAAGTTGATGATGATGTGACATTCAGCAATAAACAATCAATTAAGCATTTAAGATGCTTGAATTTTAAAATTAATATCAAACAGCTAAATTCTTAAAGTGAGGAAAATAGAGCCAATAATCCATATTTTGTACTGAAGCCTTATGCTACGGAAAGAGTTGTACTTCTCTGCATGACTATCAGAGCTTTGACATGTTTATGTTCAGTCACTAATGATTTAGATCATTTTCCATCACAGCTTCCAAAAAATATTTGAGCCAGCTGAACATTTTTTCAATCCCATTTTTTATCTCTTTAGACAGGTTACATTACAAAAGATGGACATAGCCATATGATAAAGCCATTAAACTATTAAAGGACAATAAAATCATAGACTTCATACTTTTTCAGTTTTTACATAAATTCCATTTTTGACATTAACAATTACATTGATAGTGCATGGTTCGAATTGGCATATATCCGCAGACATAACAAAGTGTATTAGTCAGTCTAGGACCAGCTTAGTTATTTGATAAACATGTTTTCCAATACCGGATATTTACTAGACGACAATAGAACGCAGAACGGGGACGGTTGTGTAAAATTCATGTATTTTTATCTAACATTATTGAGTTTAAGCAGTTCTTACCACATTATTTCTTAAGGAAAATACTTGAGATGAACGTAAGATAATGGTATAAATGATATTTTTATTGTTTTGGATGAATTTGGATGCATTATTAAATAATAAATATCACACTTGCACATGCGCACACTTCTAATATTTCAATCGACGTGGTTCTGTCGGTTCTGTCTGTTAAACTTTTTTACCACCTTTGTAAATTATGATCTTACCGTTTTAAATGCGTTTGTCTAATAGTCTATATCTGTTTTGCTTAAAAGTAGTTAGATTTAAACCAGGAATGTTTTTAATTTTAATAAAAAAATAACTTCCAAAAAGATTGATTGATGTCCAGTACAAATAGTTTCTCTGACGCAGGTGATTTCAGGTAAATCTCACCTGTTAGACACTTAATTAACCTTGATTGTAATGAGAGGGGATTATAGTAGCGCTTGTTTATAGAGTACTGTCACTTTTTTGACAGGAAAAGTGTGGCTGTTTAAGGCACAAGGTCAAGTCAAAATGGTTGATTTTTCTGAATTACATGAACGTTGAAATGGCAAACCCATGTAGGATGTCCGTTTAATGCTTGGCCCAGTCGGACAATGTCCGATAAATTTATATTTTTCCAGCAAATATGACTGTTTTGGAAGCCTTGTTTTCCATCCTGTTCTTCAAATCCCAAAAACTGTATTGGCACTAAGAACCATGACTTTTTGTCCTTAAAAAGGCCTATATCTTATTCTTACCTGTTCCCCATATAACAAACTTCTTTGCATGGCTTTCAGAGCCTTGACAATCTGAGCTTTTGTTGCTGAAGGATTATCTATAGCCTCTAGTCCTGCTTCAAGCAGTTTTAGCAAGAATGGAACTAATTCGGTTTTTAAAGCCTGGAAAATTTAAACAAACAATATTTCATTGAGATTTTTTGTGATATTTTATTTCATGTGAACTTTAATATTTTTAGATCAATGACCTTATATTCACCTTTTTCATTTTCTACTTTTTTGTTTTTTGCTATTTAGTGTTTGATTTCACACAGCAAAAAAGCTGTTCTATTCACTGATTTACATTGATTACGGAAGAAAATTTTATGAATTTCATAATTTATTTCAGACAGGTCTCCCTTATATTTAAGGCTGTTCAAAAATTCATTGGGTGTGGGTCGAGAGGCACTCATATTAAATAAATATGGGTGGTTGCATTTTCCTTTGAATTTTGTAAGGAAAAATATGTAAATTGAAATTTGATTTTATGGATGGTGCAAGTGCCTCCCTTGCCCCCATGTGTTTAAAATTCTGGAACAGTCCTTAATTGTTTCTTATGTTTATTTAAAATATTTAACATAAAAAGAAAACATTACTGCAAGAATTCAAAGCATGTTTTCTGATGCTATAAATAGATATGTGTAAATTAGGTGTTAGCACTGTTACCTGTGAAACAAGTTCTTCTTCACCTTTATCAAACATTTTACCCAATGCTTCAGCTGCCAGAGCAATAGAATCTCTTCTAGCTTTCATACCAACTTTTAAAGCACCGATACATTCTATCTGTGCCATACTTCGTATACATATCTGAAACAATTGATAAAAGAGGGTGGTAAAGGGTTATTTTCGTGCAACGTGTTTTGCCATTTTTATTTCACGTGCAGCCGTGAAAAAGGTTTGTTATTCACTGTGTTTCGTGAATCAGTAAAAAGATCAACGTGCAAGAAATTTTTAATTGTTCGTTCATCGTGAAATGACAATTTTATTTCGCGGTCTTCAGTGCAGATACCCCCCTTTACACCCCTCATAAAAGTGATGTAACATAAGATCAAACAGTAAAATTCAACTTTAAAGGGCTTAAATCATCAGAGCAGAACAAAACAAACAAGTGAATCTGTGAGCTTCTGCTCACTAATGATACCCCCGCCCCGCTAAAAGTATAAGGTAAACAGGAAGTTGTTGAGTAATGAATCTGAAAACGCATCACACGGTATAGCTGACTCATATAAACCCTGAAACCAAATTTCAGAAATCCTTGTAATGTAGTTCCTGAGAAAGATGCGACGAAAAATATTCATGGGACGGACGGACAGACAGACAGAGGTAAAACAGTATACCCCCACTTTTTTAAAGCAGGGCTATAATAACAAAAAGACAAAAGACACAAAGCATTGTTCTAAGAATCCTTGCAGTTATTAAAGGCTAGATCAAAGCAAAATTTCACTGATATTCTCCAAGATTAAAATGTCAATCAGTACACCTCTGAAGGATTTACTTTAAAGACTCCTGTAGAAAGCATGTTTTCTGCTGAAAGGACTAATAAAAAATCTGGCCCAATAGTTTAATTCAGAGAACATTTTTGTAAAAGTTAACGATGAAGGACGCCAAGTCATGAAAAAAGCACACATATAACCCTAGAAACAACATTAATCTTCAAATGTTACATCAGTATAAACAACGAAAATAAATTTTTAACCCTTTGATACACAAGTACCATTTTGTAATAGTTCACAAGTTTTTTCATTTTAATATTCATGATAATCTGCAAGTGCAAAAGTAAGTTTTGGCTGTGTTATATCAAATTTGCAGAAGTTTCTGATATAATATTTAACTCTCTAAAACAAAACAAAAAATTGAATGTTCAGTCTTTTCAAATTGTGGACCTCCTCTAAAAACTTACCTCATTATGAGCAAGCTGATGAGCAACTTGTATAGCTGAGCGTGGTACGGCATTGTTCCGATGAGACATAGCTGTGAACACTTTTGGAATGTAACCTAATTGTGGAAGTTGATCCAACATCACAGGTTGTGAGGTAAACAAATAAACTATTGCTGTTGTCACGGTTTCCAATACTTCTCCCTATACAGTAATTAAACAAAAATGATATTATCTCCCTTAGATGAACACAGGATAATTATAGCAATACATGAAAGTTCCTATCATAACTTGAAATATGCTTATTGAATATGAAATATGAAGATATCCTTATTATACATGTAGGTAGATTTTCAGCCTAACCTAAACAAAAATTGATTGGAAAAACATTCCATTTACTTTGGATTCATTATTATTCATGGGATACTAATTTTTAATTATTTCGTGGGTGTAGGTTAACCACATTCTTAAATGTTCAACAAAGTACAAATTTTTCATAGGCTTGTATGCAGACTTTATTAAAACCACAAAATCAAATATCCACGAAAATACATTTTTTTTCTAAATCCTGGAAAAATGGTACCCACAAAAAAATAAATGAATCCACTGTAAAGAATCTTTTCAAATTGTGATACCTGCTTGCCACTATCTTTACAATTCCAAGCTGATATTTCACTATTTCACATTACCTGGGAGAAGGCAAATATTTACTATCAAATAAAAGAAAGTAAAAAGTAAAAAAAATTGTGATCTATAGTTGCTAATATCTACGTCATTTGGTTTTTGATGGAGAGTCATCTCATTGGCAATCTTATCACATCTCATTTTTACATTTCATTTCAATAATATTATTTGAATATTCATATCATTCTGTAAATAATTTAAAAAAATGTTAAGCTTGGAACTAAAATTTTTTCTTACATCTGCATTTTGTATTTTTGTAAGCTCTGCCCATTTCTCCATCAACTCTGTTAAAAATTCCTTTGGTTTCCGCAGCACCCATCCAGGGTTGGCAATAAACAATCGGAGGAAGACACCACCAATAGTTAGCTCCCCTGCTACGTCTGTATAAACTACGGCAAAATCTTCTCTTAGGCTCCATCGGGAGTCTGGATTTTCTCGCTGAGCTTTAAAATGACTGAAATAATCCAAAAATATAAATATAGCATCTCACATATTCATTTCTGTAACAAATACTGCAGCACTGACATATCAACCTGTTATAAATATTGCAGCACTAACCTTTCAACCTGTGATTTTGACTTTGAAGTATTTTCGTTCATCTGACCCAATTTAAATTCTTTTAAGTATACTGTGCTGAAATTGGTTTTTCCATTTATAATCTTTACAAAATCAGACAATTTTGTACAACCTGCAGCTTGAAAAAAAGCTCTGTGACCCCAAACATTTTATTACAGTTTTTGAAATTGAAGAAATAAACTACATTTAGGCAAACTATTAAAAAAATATGTCTATTTCAATTTTGACAACCCAACATCCAATATTAGATAATGCAGAGACCATTATGTATCAGATACTTCATCTTGTAAGCAATAATCTTCATTAAAATGGCTTTTTATTACAATATATTGATAAGATTTTTCATAGAACATGTTTAGATCAAACTAGCTATAGATATTCAATTCATATTTTATCAGTTTTCTTAGATGTATTTTAAAAGTAAAAAAAAAACATGGAAATACAGACAAATTGAAAAGGCTAAATCTTTATGATGTAGTATCCTCAGACTTGATACTAAAAATACGCTTTATTCCAATCGTTGTCTTTCCGTCAAAGTGTTTGGTTTTAGGTGACGTTATTTGACGTCATTTGTGAGTTTGTTGGGCATAAAATCTACGTCAGTATGTTGAGCTAAGGGATGAATATTCTAATGGGGATCAATTCCATATGACTGCTCGATAACTGTTTTTAAAAAATAAAATTTATATATTTCTTTAGGCAGGATTGAATTATGTACATAAGAATAAAGACGGGTGTTTGAAACAAGTCAAGCAGTCACAATTACTTTATCAGTTCAAAGATGCAGGGATCCAGTTAGCCCATAAAATATTTAAATGACGTGAGAAATCAGCTTATAGTAAAAGAGTATTTCTGGTAATTGAAATGATATGGATCAAATGTATAGATCAAGGATTTGTGTCCATACAATGCCCAGCTTGCGCTATCACATTTCTATTTTCAATACACAGTTAAATTTTGGTTTAAACCCCAATTTGGAATGATGGAAAACACAATGCCACGACACCCCTATAGGTAAACCCTAATGTACATAACATAAAATACATACTTATTTTTCAATTTTTTCACAACATCAGACACTTTATCCCTGGATTCCTCATTCCAGATTAATTCAGGGTTTTCATGAGTTCCTTCATACATATGAACACTAGCCTCAGGTGAGTCTCTCATAGCATCCATGAATATTGGAGGAAGAAATTTAGACAACACTATCCGGACCTTAGGCCCAACAAGTTTATCTGATAACATTTTTGATAAAAGTTCGGCAGTCTTTTCACGCACATTTGGATTTGTTGAATTACAAAATAAATCTAATAAATATATCACAGCTCCTGTAAAACAAATAAAACAGTTGTTGAGAAATATCATCAGTTAATGTATTATAATATTTTCCATTTTTTTTTATCCACTATGTTACTGGTATTGGTAATGGACATAAAAGTCAACACTGAAAGATTCAATCTTATCTGTATTTACTGACAAAAAAACTGAATTTCTCTTGTTCACTGCAATGAACAATTAAATTACTTTAATAGGTGTGTTTCAATGTGTAAGTTAAAACAATCTAATTCTGAGAAACTATCTGTTGCAAAGAATGTACTACTTTTCATAACTATCCCCAGGAAAGAACAAAATATTTTCCTGGACTATTGCCAGTAAAGAACTGTTTGAATTATGAAACAAGATTTTCCATAACTATCTGTATTAAATGAAGAAAATTCAATTTTGTGTATGATAGTTCTCCTTAATATATATCATAGAGATAACCTCCCTTAAATGTGTTTCAACAAATACTTCTCCGTGTTAACCTCCCTTAATGGGTTCCCTTCAATGTATTTTCTATTTCTTTTATTACAAACCTTTTGCCATAGCTTCCTTCACTATCTTAGTATTGGACATTAAAGCAAATAAACTTTCTAAGGTTAGTAATCGGCCTAAAACAAAAGAAGAGCAATTCTTACAAAACCTTCTGAACTACATTATTAATGTAAAACTAAGAAAACCATTGAATATTTGTATGTACCACTTGTAGAGATACTATCAAATAGTTGAGTACTTACTAAGTAAGACATGTCATATGTAATGTACCTGTCCAAAATTAAGATGCTTATCAGTGTTTTCATTCAACATATCTATTTAAAGATTCAATATATCGACAGCAGATCTTTTTTTATTTCTGTTGAATTCATTAAAAACTTGTCTTTATTAAGGTGGATTAGAGCTTAGTTTATGATATAGACACTAAATTACTATGGACGTTTTCTGGTAGCTATGTTTTATGTTGCATTGGGTTTTTGTGTTGCTATCCCATGGACTTTAAATCTTGTTTTTTTTTTAATAACATTATATTTTTAAATATTTCACATTATGAAATAATTGTTTCTGTTTAAAAACAACTATTACTTTGCAAAATTTTTGAACATGTTATCTGTCAATTGCAGTCACCAAATTTTTTACTGATGGTATGTAGTCTAATAAGACATACTTACAGTTAGGAAGCATGTTAATAGCTAATAGTAAATAGGACAACACTTCTGAGGCAGCAATGTCATTCACACACTCCTGGTTTGTTGTTACATTGTTTACAACCTAGAAATAAATAAGATAAAGGGGAATAACTCTGCAGCAATGTCATTCACACACTACTGGTTTGTTGTTACATTGTTTACAACCTAGAAATAAATAAACAAAGGGGGAATAACTCTGCAGCAATGTCATTCATACACTCTTGGTTTGATGTTACATTGTTTACAACCAAGAAATAAATAAACAAAGGGGGAATAACTCTGCAGCAATGTCATTCACACACTCCTGGTTTGTTGTTACATTGTTTACAACCTAGAAATAAATAAACAAAGGGGGAATAACTCTGAAGCAATGTCATTCACACACTCCTGGTTTGTTGTTACATTGTTTACAACCTAGAAATAAATAAACAAAGGGGGAATAACTCTGCAGCAATGTCATTCACACACTCTTGGTTTGTTGTTACATTGTTTACAACCTAGAAATAAATAAACAAAAGGGGAAAAACTCTGCAGCAATGTCATTCATACACTCTTGGTTTGTTGTTACATTGTTTACAACCTAGAAATAAATAAACGAAGGGGGAATAACTCTGCAGCAATGTCATTCACACACTCTTGGTTTGTTGTTAAATTGTTTACAACCTAGAAATAAATAAACAAAAGGGGAATAACTCTGCAGCAATGTCATTCACACACTCTTGGTTTGTTGTTACATTGTTTATAACCTAGAAATAGAATAAATATAAGGGGAATAACTCTGCAGCAATGTCATTCACACACTCCTGGTTTGTTGTTACATTGTTTACAACCTAGAAATAAATAAACAAAGGGGGATAACTCTGCAGCAATGTCATTCACACACTCCTGGTTTGTTGTTACATTGTTTACAACCTAGAAATAAATAAACAAAGGGGGAATAACTCTGCAGCAATGTCATTCACACACTCCTGGTTTGTTGTTACATTGTTTACAACCTAGAAATAAATAAACAAAGGGGGAATAACTCTGCAGCAATGTCATTCACACACTACTGGTTTGTTGTTACATTGTTTACAACCTAGAAATAAATAAATGAAGGGGGAATAACTTTGCAGCAATGTCATTCATACACTCTTGGTTTGTTGTTACATTGTTTACAACCTAGAAATAAATAAACACAGGGGGAATAACTCTGCAGCAATGTCATTCACACTCTCTTGGTTTGTTGTTAAATTGTTTACAACCTAGAAATAAATAAACAAAAGGGGAAAAACTCTGCAGCAATGTCATTCACACACTCCTGATTTGTTGTTACATTGTTTACAACCTAGAAATAAATAAACAAAGGGGGAATAACTCTGCAGCAATGTCATTCACACACTCCTGGTTTGTTGTTACATTGTTTACAACCTAGAAATAAATAAATGAAGGGGGAATAACTCTGCAGCAATGTCATTCATACACTCTTGGTTTGTTGTTACATTGTTTACAACCTAGAAATAAATAAACAAAGGGGGAATAACTCTGCATCAATGTCATTCACACTCTCTTGGTTTGTTGTTAAATTGTTTACAACCTAGAAATAAATAAACAAAAGGGGAAAAACTCTGCAGCAATGTCATTCACACACTCTTGGTTTGTTGTTACATTGTTTACAACCTAGAAATAGAATAAATATAAGGGGAATAACTCTGCAGCAATGTCATTCACACACTCCTGATTTGTTGTTACATTGTTTACAACCTAGAAATAAATAAACGAAGGGGGAATAACTCTGCAGCAATGTCATTCACACACTCTTGGTTTGTTGTTTCATTGTTTACAACCTAGAAATAAATAAACAAAAGGGGAATAACTCTGCAGCAATGTCATTCACACACTCGTGGTTTGTTGTTACATTGTTTACAACCTAGAAATAAATAAACAAAAGGGGAATAACTCTGCAGCAATGTCATTTACACACTCTTGGTTTGTTGTTACATTGTTTACAACCTAGATATAAAATTAACAAAGGGGGAATAACTTGTTTGCTTCTATAAATGAAGACAAATACAGAAAATAAGTCTGTAGTAATGTTGGTATATTTTTTTCATTTTATATTAAACAAAGCAAGATGATGATACTCATATTTTTCACACATTTTCCATTATAACCAACAATTATATGAAACAAAAGGGAAATAACCCTGTCTTGTATGTAGCCGTTTAACATCTATCTACCTATACTGACCACAGCAAAGTAACATTATTTTTGGTATGATTTAGAGGTGTAATTGAAACCACCTCTTCAGTTAAGGTAATATCAAAGTGTCAAATTGCCATCATATCTAAAATCAGTGAAAAAGCATAAAGCTTGTTTCAACAGCAAACTGATTACAAACTGCTCAACATCTAGATTTCTTTTGATTATTTTCGTCATTGGGTTGCTTTATCATTGTTGGGTTGCTGTATCATTGATTTATACCCTACATCTCTTTTTATTCATGAATTATAAATTTCTACTATTAACTGTAGCAATGTAAATAAAATGGAGAACAAGACTCACCTCGAGAGCACATTGTTGTAGTTTGGCACAATCATCTAATCTAAGAAGACTAAACAGTAACTTAAAATGTCCTATACACTGTATTTCTACACCTGAAATTAGAAATATAATTTTAAACAACAGGTTAACCCAATCCTTTACATCAAACATTGACTATTTATAAATTTCTCGTTTTTCTTAAAAAAAAATTCCTCAGGCATTTCCTATTGCAGGATAATTCCTTTGTTTCTTTTTTTATTATTAGAATATCATACCAACTTAATTACACATCCTGCAAAATAATTTTCAATGCTTGATATCACTTCAATAGTTTTCTAGAATAAATACATTGAATTCTCTCCATAAAAAATCATTTTCCCCTTTATTCTATATAAAAGATGTGATATGTTTGCCAATAAGGCAACTATCCACCAGAGTTCAAATGATGAAGATATAAGTAATTATAGGTCACAGTACAGTTCTACGGTCACTTACCTGGATTATTTTTTATTACATTACGTAGACCTTCTAAAGCCATTTCCACATGCAGAAGGCGGTCTCCTTGTTTTTTCTGACTAGAATTTTGACTCTGTTTTTGCAACATCATTAGTGAGTGAAGATACTGAAAGGAATTTAACAGTTAAATAAATATTGGATATCATCCTCCAGGTCGATCTAACTAGGATTCTTGAGAATTTAACAATTAAATAAACAGTGGATATCATCCTCCAGTTTGTTCTGATTAGGATTCATTTGAAAAATAACAATTAACTTAATAGTGGATATCATCCTCTAATTTGTTCTGATAAGGATTCCTAAGAATTTAACAATAAGTAAAAAGTGGATATTATCCTCCAGTTTGTTCTGATAAGGATTCTTAGGAATTTAACAATTAAGTAAATAGTTGATGTCATCCTCAGGTTGTTCTGATTAGGATTCTCCAGAATTTAACAATTAATTAAATAGTGGATATCATCCTCAAGTTTGTTCTGATTAGGATTCTTACACATATAGGATGGACACACTGAGTCAGAGTCAAAATATGCTAGAAAGTACAACCACCAAGAAAATGTATCATAGCACATGCATGCATCATTGTAACTCTGATCTGATCAATCTTTGCACTAACTCCTAGAAGCTTCTGGCTTAGCAGGAAAGCAAAAACAATGTAATACAAAATTTTCCAATCATTGGTTCAATTTGGCAAGGTATGAAACCCGTAATGTCCCTACGCTTGAGGTAAACACATTAACATTAGACCTCACAGTCATTTAAAATATATCAAACAACTTTAAGGGATTTTTTTTTCAAATTCATCTTCAAACATACAAATTAAAGTAATAAGGTAATGATTGATGATTTTTTTCTGACAGTGCAAATGAAGGATTAAGAATTATTTATTGCCTCTATGAAACATTTTCATCTTATCAAAGTTATTTTACCTGAGCTTGAGATCCCATGTAATCTAGGAGATCTATTGTGAAACCTTTGGGATTCTGTAAATAAACAAAAATATGTAGATACATTTTGATATATTTTATATTCCAAATTAGCCTCACATTTTTTTTTTTCATGTGAGGGGTCTCATATTTTATGAAATCAATATATAAACATTTTTTCAACCAAAGGTGAGAAAAAAATCGTGGAATTACACAACTGTTGTATCAAATTAGCCACTTTGTATTAGCAATTGCTTACATCCATTTCAATTGAACTTTGGTGGATAGTTGTCTCATTGGCAATCATACCACATCTCCTCATTTTTATATTAATAACGATTAACATTCTCGCTGAGATATTTAAATTCTATTTCCCACTATCAATTTTCTTACTTTTGTTTGATAGTTTAGTTCTCAATGCAATTTATGACAATGTGTTTTAATTCAACTCTATCTCAAGGCATATATGAATTCATTAAAAATCCATCATTTTCATTTTTCACATTATAATGAGTGTCCCTTAAGGTAATTCCAGAAAAGTGGTTCAGACGGAAACTTAAACATGTTAGACAAAGATATTTCATATGCAACCTCAGGTAGTGTTCTACCACTGAGTAAAGTTTCATCTATATCCATAAATTGCAGACAGACAGACAAGGTTATTCCTATATATCTCTAAACTTTGTTTGCAAGAGATATAAAAATAATAGGCATTTCAACAACAATTATATTTTTAAATAACTTATGCAATAATCTACACAGAACCACTTGCAAGAAAATATCTTAACCAAAAAGTGACTCTGTCAGATAAATTACTACTTACATCTAAAGGAAAAGTTGGCTGCTCATTATAAATTCTAACAAAGATTTCTCCTACTATTAATTCTTTGGCATGGATATCGTAAACAAAATCAGCCCCGTAATTCTGGTCACATTCTCCCTGAAAACATCAACAAACAATCATGTGTTAATGGCAACAGCATCATCATAAGACAAGCAATGTTTACTGACAATATTGTTTTAATGGCAACAGTATCATCATAAGACAAGCAATGTTTACTGACAATATTGTTTTAATGGCAACAGCATCATCATAAGACAAGCAATGTTTACTGACAATATTGTTTTAATGGCAACAGTATCATCATAAGACAAGTAATGTTTACTGGCAATATTGTTTTAATGGCAACAGCATCATCATAAGACAAGCAATGTTTACTGACAATATTGTTTTAATGGCAACAGCATCATCATAAGACAAGTAATGTTTACTGACAATATTGTTTTAATGGCAACAGCATCATCATAAGACAAGTAATGTTTACTGACAATATTGTTTTAATGGCAACAGCATCATCATAAGACAAGCAATGTTTACTGACAATATTGTTTTAATGGCAACAGCATCATCATAAGACAAGCAATGTTTACTGACAATATTGTTTTAATGGCAACAGTATCATCATAAGACAAGTAATGTTTACTGACAATATTGTTTTAATGGCAACAGCATCATCATAAGACAAGCAATGTTTACTGACAATATTGTTTTAATGGCAACAGTATCATCATAAGACAAGTAATGTTTACTGACAATATTGTTTTAATGGCAACAGCATCATCATAAGACAAGCAATGTTTACTGACAATATTGTTTTAATGGCAACAGCATCATCATAAGACAAGCAATGTTTACTGACAATATTGTTTTAATGGCAACAGCATCATCATAAGACAAGCAATGTTTACTGACAATATTGTTTTAATGGCAACAGCATCATCATAAGACAAGTAATGTTTACTGACAATATTGTTTTAATGGCAACAGCATCATCATAAGACAAGCAATGTTTACTGACAATGTTAATTAAAACATCAACAATGGGAATGACTAAGATCTCAAATAACTAGATAAACCCTAACACATGTTCAACAAGCATCTTTTCTGTCATATAGTTTTGACAATGTTACTGTCAATTTTTATGGTTACATTATCAATCTGTGAAGGTCACATGTTGACCTCTATAGACGTCTATTTGAGGTTAATTGTTGTTTTTTTGGTTGCTGTCACTTTGACATTAAACCAACATCATCATTATAATGTACATTAAATATAAACAAGCAAGTTTCCATATAAGTTAATATACATACTGTTTTTATAACATTTTGCTGTTGGTCCATAAGATATTCATTCAACTGCCCCCTAGTGGCATTGTCCCATATAAGGTAAGGATTCTCTGTGTTACAATTCAGATATTTCAGCAGCTGAAAAACATCAAACATGGAAATTACATCTCGGATGTAAACAACTCTGATTTAACTTCCTGGATTTGATAAAATATAAAGAGTGATTGGTTTACATGAAATTGAGGAAATTGTTGGTTTATTTGTAAACTAAAATTGGTGAACCTTGTAGATATCTATTTAAACTTCAGGAGAAGTATTTATTGATAGTGTTTAACCCCATTTATACCTTTCATGGTATTGACCTTTTGCATGTAACTAACCAGGTTTATCAATTGCTAGTAAATTTAATGCAATGCTACATTGTAAATGAATGATAAAAATATAAACCCTGCATCCTACTTGACAGGCACTCTGATTGATTGTTGATGCACTAGTTCACAGGGTATATTATAAATTTTACGTTCATATATAAAACTATCATTACAACAACAGAGTATTTGATGCCTGATGGTAATATCATTTAATTGACAAGGCCGCATTGATTGAGTGAAGCTGTAACCAAAATGTTAACTCGAAAAAAACCTTACAATCTCTTTTCATTTGTTCTTGCAAAGGATAAATCTATATGAAAATCATTATCCATTTAAATGAAAAAAATATGTCTAATCTAGAATTTTATTCTGACTACCATCAGTGAATATTTGTTGGTATTGCAAAAAAAAAAAAAGTTCTAAACCCTCCACTCTCTTTACATCTACATAATACTTCCAGATCTGCCAATCTTCACAATTTATGGGGGATTTCCCCCATGAGAGGTGCTGACCTGAATTTTGAAATTCTTTATTATATAACTAAACACCTCAAAAACAGGCATTCAAATGAGTTAAAAGGTTATTCAAGCTCATACATACTCATTCAACAATATAGTAGTAGATTAAAAACACTTATGACAATATACCGTTCCTACTCGCTTATTAGTCGGAAAATTGGGAGTAAAATTCATAATCCAGAGAGGGGGACCGACTAATAGACGAGATCTAGCGACCAGAGGAAAAATCCAAGCTTGAGAAAAGTGGTCAGGAGTGAATTTCCTGGTCAAAACTACGTTTTTGATTGCCAAACCTACATAAATCAATAAATAAAAAGTTTTTGTTGAAAATAAATTACTACAATACTGTCTTTGTGTTTTATTTGTTCTTTGGTAAACATTTTCTGCAAATTCGTGTTGAAATTCTACTGTTTCCGGTTTGTGTATTGATTTTCATGGTCACATGGTTTTCCTATAAACCCAAAAGAAGAGCCAAGAACCAAAAATGAAAAGGAGATAACAATGTACCAAATATGTGAAAGGATGTTTTCAGCGGAGTTATTGTGTCATTATTATGATATCATGATATCAATTCAATGCTTATAAATCATATAATAATCAAAAAATAATTTTAAGATTCATTCCCAAAATCAAAATATTATTCATTAAAGTGTCTCAGGTAAACAAAAATTACAAAATTGATTGACAAGCCAATATAATCCATTGATAACCCCAATTAAGAGACAAAGAGTTGTATTTACTAAAGGTGTGAAAACTATCAGTGATAGGTAAACAGATGACACTAATGAGTTGGAGTTAGTTATTTTAATATATTGATTAGCTTCACTTAATTTTTTTAATCCTTTAATCATCACAATATAATAAGAATTATGAAGTGTACATGCTCATTTAACACCAAGTTATGTATGCTGTTAAAAATATTTTCATCAAGTGTTGATTGACTTTAAATTTTTCAGGTTCATATTGGTTTATATTCGCTTTTCTCAAACAATAGGTTGTTAGTCATACCCTACAAAATCATTGATGCATTACGTAAACAACACATGGCTAATCTAACATTTGAACAGTGAACAAAACAAGAGAAATGAATACATCTTTATTATTAACAGCAATATAAATTATCATGATGAGCATCAACTAAATTCAAACCAAACATTAATGCAGAAATGAATATTATTCCTGGATTTGCATTGGTTCTACCGGCGTTCAGTTACTGTCAGCTGAAAAAAAAATGCCCAAATTTTGTCCGACTTATACGAGGGTCAAGACTAAATCCTTAGAATTTGGAGCTGAAAAGGGCCCCCGACTTATAGTAGGATCGACTATTAAGCGAGTTTATACGGTAAGAAGAGCATTAATTAGGTCCTCTTGCTCTTAAAATCCCTCATGGAGATTTGGAAAAGTTCGCAGGTATGTACTTCTGAACTTCAATATGTTGAAGATTACAAGAAGGCACATGCTAGGGAAAATTAAATATCTGAAAATATTTACAAGAAATTTCAAAAACATTTTTCTTTTGTATATAGATAAAAACATTTATTTGTTCTAGCAATATATTTGGATTGTGCACTAGACTTAAATGCATTTAAGTCTGGGCTACTGGCTACCTGGTTTGGTAAGGAATTCCGCAACCTTAATGTTCTTGGAAACAAGAGTGGACACGCTGAAATGTCTCGCCTTCTTTACTAACCATTGATATTATGTTGATAGTCCTAAATAAAAGCTTTACTACAACTATTACATAAACTTAACATGATCCAAGAAAATGAAGTCAAGGTCATATAAACCAAACAAGAAATACATGTACACCTTACAATCATTCAATACACTAAATATAGTTGACCTATTGCTTATAGTTTCTAAGAAACAGACTTAACCAAGAAAACTAAACATTGACCAATGAATCGTGAAAATGAGGTCAAAGTCAGATGAACCATGCCAGGCAGACATGAACAGCTTACAATCCTTCCATACAACAAATATAGCTGACCTATTGCTTATAGTTTAAGAAAAACAGACTGAAACACATAAACTTAACACTGAGCAATGAACTGTGAAAATGAGGTCAAGGTCAAATAAAACCTGCGAGACTGACATGTACATCATAGAATATTTCCATACACCAAATATAGTTGACTTATTGCATAATAGTATAAGAAAAAAGACCAAAACTCAAAAACTTAACTTTGACCACTGAACCATGAAAATGAGGTCAAAGTCAGATGACACCTGCCAGTTGGACATGTACACCTTACAATCATTCCATACACCAAATATAGTAGACCTATTGGATAAAGTATAAGAAAAACGGACCAAAACACAAAAACTTAACTATAACCACTGAACCATGAAAATGAGGTCAAGGTCAGATGACACCTGCCAGTTGGACATGTACACCTTACAATCATTCCATACACCAAATATAATAGACCTATTGGATAAAGTATAAGAAAAACGGACCAAAACACAAAAACTTAACTATAACCACTGAACCATGAAAATGAGGTCAAGGTCAGATGACACCTGCCAGTTGGACATGTACACCTTACAATCATTCCATACACCAAATATAATAGACCTATTGCATACAGTATAAGAAAAACAGACCAAAACACAAAAACTTAACTATAACCACTGAACCATGAAAATGAGGTCAAGGTCAGATGACACCTGCCAGTTGGACATGTACACCTTACAATCACTCCATACACCAAATATAATAGACCTATTGCATACAGTATAAGAAAAACAGACCAAAACACAAAAACTTAACTATAACCACTGAACCATGAAAATGAGGTCAAGGTCAGATGACACCTGCCAGTTGGACATGTACACCTTACAGTCCTTCCATACACCAAATATACTAGACCTATTGCTTGTAGTATCTGAGATATGGACTTGACCACCAAAACTTAACCTTGTTCACTGATCCATGAAATGAGGTCGAGGTCAAGTGAAAACTGTCTGACAGGCATGAGGACCTTGCAAGGTACGCACATACTTAATATAGTTATCCTATTACTTATAATAAGAGAGAATTTAACATTACAAATAATTTGAAATTTTTTTTCAAGTAGTCACTGAACCATGAAAATGAGGTCAAGGAAATTGGACATGTGACTGACGGAAACTTCGTAACATGAGGCATCCATATACAAAGTATGAAGCATCCAGGTCTTTCACCTTCTAAAATATAAAGCTTTTAAGAAGTTAGCTAACGCCGCCGCCGCCGCCGCCGCCGCCGCCGCCGGATCGCTATCCCTATGTCGAGCTTTCTGCGACAAAAGTCGCAGGCTCGACAAAAATGAAAATAAATGGTAATGCGAGGGAGAGAATGGCTGTACAAATTTGTGTTCTTTTGAAGGTACTAAGTATTTCTTGTTTGAGATGGATACTAATTGATGTTGGATTTTATAGAACATGTTGAAAAATGCAAGATTATTAGAGTAAGATGCACTCTATCAAAGCTTACCTCTGATGGATTTTCTTGAGACAGTTTTCTAGATAAATATGGAGTCAATATAGCTGACAACGATTTCTTCACAGGTACATTTTCTGGTGTTTCTAATCCTGAGCTTTCTGGAAAGTATCCACCTAACCTTCCACAAGCTCTAACACACAGACGAGCTAACTGGTTGGCAACTTCCTGTACAAAGTAAAAACATATGGCACTATAATGACACATACTGATTTTAATTATCCTGCCTTATATCTATGAGGGTCTGGATGGGGTCCTTAAATTCTGTATTCTTAAAATTTTTAGGTCAATTTTCGACATTTTTCATTATCTTTAGAAATAACGCTTATTCTGTGAAATTCTCATGAAAATGATTTTACTATTATTTTTTTCTGTAATTGGATGACTCCTTTATTCTGTATGTCGTTCATTTCTGCATTTTATTACCTAATTCTTTTATTTTCAACAGTTATTCTTTAATCTTTTGCACCCAATTATTCTCTATTCTTTATATTTTTTGCTTATTTTTCTCTATTCATCATATCATTTTGCCATTATTCTCTATTCTGTAAACCTCATTTAGCCCCTTATCTACGTATTCACAGGGGAATGTTGATGCATTAATTTTTATCTATCCTTTTTCACCTTATATTATAAGCACATCTTTTCCTCAAAGATCTATTCCATAAAAAGCATGTATTGGACCCAGGGAGTGCACTTTGAAATAACAGTTATGGGTGGGTGTTAATTACAGTGAAAATATAAGAGAAATTTTAATATTGCCTCTATATATGATTACCCCATTTTCAAAACTGGGTACAAGGTGTGTTATAATGGAACAGCCCTAATGAAAGAATATAGCGGCATTTTCCACTCATGTAATTTTACAAAATATCATAAGCAAACTTAATAACTCATCATTTCGCTGAGTATAACAATTCAAAATTCTAGAAGACAAGAAAATAATAAGAATACTGAAAATTTAAACATGAAATGTCACTATGGCAAGGTTAAATTTTCTTACACTTAATTCATTCCAGTATATAAACCTATTTGCTATATATAAATGTTCATCAAATTTCCAAACAGCACTTATTCAATGTGAATAATTATGTTACCTGTTGGTTACTTTCTCCGCTCTTCTCTACACCTCCCTCTTCTAATGTATAATCATAATTGAACAAGTACAGCAGTAAATGGTAAAGCACACCTGATTGGAAGAGATTGGTCTGTAACCAGAAGTCCACAGAAAAGGCACTAATACACAGTGCAACTTCAGAACACAATTTTGGCAGGTTCTGAAAAATTATAACTGTTTGTAGTCTCAATATCATGAATGTAGATTCAATAAAGAAAATAAAGGTTTATTTACCGAAAATTCAGAAATTATTGCGTGCATTTATTTTTGAGATTTTTGAAGAATGAACAAAAATGTGAGTTTAATTATTGCAATTTTTGGAAAAGCTACATACAGATATATGAACCGGATATCAGACTGCAAGTTCTTATTACTGCAATACTCAAGGAGTCGCATTATTCGCATTAATAAAAACCTCGCAATAATTTCTAAATTTACAGTAAGTCAACAGTAGTATACCGATGTTCAAATCTTGTAAATGGATTAGGAAGAGACAGGGAAAAGCAACCTCTCCAAAAGGAGAGAGACCAGGTGCATCGACAGGGTAAGAGTCTCCCAACAAATATTAAGTCTTGCACCTGTCCTAAGTCTGGAGCCTGTTGTTCAGTGGTTGTCGTTTGTAAGTGTGGTTCATAAGTGTTTCTCGTTTCTCGTTTTTTTATATAGATTAGACTTTTGGTTTTCCTGTTTGAATTGTTTTACACTAGTCATTTTGGGGCCCTTTATAGCTTACTGTTTGGTGTGAGCCAAGGCTTCGTGTTGAAGGCCGTACTTTGACCTATAATTGTTAACTTTTTATACATTGTGACTTGGATGGAGAGTTGTCTCATTGGCACTCATACCACATCTTCTTATTTATATTGCATCCACATTTTCAGTTTTCTTGGTGATCACAGCATTCTGTGCTGAAAGTTTTGATATTTCGCAAAATCAATGGGCTGAAAAATTATTGGTCATTTGTGGCAAACAGCATATTTTCTTAATCCGAAACATGTTTTTATACTTAAAACCATCTAAAGCACAAGGCGGATGCAACCTTGAAAACACTTTTTAAGAATTGAGAATGTATTGAAGAGTAAGGAACAAATTTACAAATAAGTACATGCAAAATAAAATATTTGCATACAGTATTTACAACGTATCTAAAATGGCTTTCATCATTTTTTTACTTGGTAATTTAAATCAATTCACCTTCACACTGTCTTTTTTGCCTTTAATAAATTCTTTGTTTTGCTGTCTTCATGTACACATAATTTTTACTGTCTTAAACCTCCAGGAACAATAATAAGTACATGTATGTACATGTTGTCGTTGTAAGCATACCCACATTAGTATTTCAAAGTATCTGTAAACAGGAAGTATATGTCGGACAGATTCTGAAAGCACTCAGGAAGTATGTGTCAGACAGATTCTGAAAGCACTCAGGAAGTATGTGTCAGACAGATTCTAAAAGCACTCAGGAAGTATGTGTCAGACAGATTCTGAAAGCACTCAGGAAGTATGTGTCAGACAGATTCTGAAAGCACTCAGGAAGTATGTGTCAGACAGATTCTGAAAGCACTCAGGAAGTATGTGTCAGACAGATTCTGAAAGCACTCAGGAAGTATGTGTCAGACAGATTCTAAAAGCACTCAGGAAGTATGTGTCAGACAGATTCTAAAAGCACTCACACATTACAATTCCTCACTGTCATGCTTCTGACCAATTATGAAGTAATTTTATTCAGTAGTTCTAGAGAAAAGTGTAAACAAAAATTTGAGGTTCATTCAACATTACCGACAATTCAAAGTATCGGAAAACAGGAAGAAGGGATCCGACAGATCTGAAAAGTGATCACAAGTTACAACTCATGGAAATATTTATTTGGTGCACAGATGGACAAGCAGAATGCAATATAGCCCCTTTCTATTTTACTTACTTTGTAATACAATATTCTACAGATATTTTTAATAATGGCCGGTATTTCTTGTATCTTCTCTCGACATCCTTCAAACTGTGAAGCTACAGCATAACATTTCACTACATGTGTACACACCTACAACATAATCAAAGTGCTGAAAGCACTGTAAGGCTGCTTAATTATATAGCAGTTATTGATGTAAGACAATGCAAAATTTTTATAAAGATTATTTAGAAAGAACATTTTTTTACACCCATGTTGATTTTTTATTTAGTTTTATTTACACAGAATAACCAATGTTTTTACTAAATGAAATTTTTCTGGTTTAACAGAACCAATGTTTAGGGCTGTTCTATAATTTATCAGGTGGTGAGATGGGAGACACTCAAATTATTTGAATACAGGTGGTTGTATTTTCCTTAGAATTTGTAAGAAGTAAAATGAACTTTTTATTTTATAGTGCATCGGGATCTTAAAAAAGTGCCTCTCATGCCCCATGTATTTAATTCTGGAACAGCCTTAAGGAAGAGCTTTATATTTTGTTTTGAAACAATAAATAGTTAGGACTGACTCATCTGTACAAGGATGTATAATAATTCTCTATCTCTAACAGTCAAATAGGAAGATAAAGCTTGGCTTTTTCTTACCTAGATTTTGCCTAGGAGTCAATTAAAAGGGCAAACTAACAATTAACAGAAGGTAAAGAGTACCATTTTGATACATTTCAATACTTGGTATGGCAGTTTTTTTTAAGTTACAAATACTTGTTAAATTATAATTAAACAAAAGAGCTTCCAACCTTCCTCATAAAAATGCGTGGAATAACTCTTAGCCAAAAATTGTAACAACAAATGTCATGTTCATAGATTTTGTTTTCCAACTAATTTTTGGGAGATACTTTTTTTGCTCCCATTTATTTTTCCTGATTTTCTTACGTTCTTTATAAACTTGTATAAGGAGAGATCCAAGTTTGACAAGTTCCCGATTTGTATTCACTTTATTTCTGTACTTGCCAAAAGTCATAAAAATAAATAGCTTGCAAAAATAAGTTGGTTTACATTATTTTGCAGGTTTCTTACAAATAAATCTGAATGAGTACTGCTTGCACTCATTCAGTACTCATTGAGATTTATTTGTATGAGTGCTGATTGCACTGTACATTTTTCATTTTCTAACTATAAGGCCATCCTTAAAAAATTCCTTGTTTGATGTTGCCTAACCATGCCTTGTAGGGTTGGGTAGGTAGGTAGGGATTTCTTTTTTGGCAAACAACATAAGCTAAATGTTTAAGACAAGAAAACAACCTAAGGAAAAAATATTTGAAAAAAAAATAATTGAAACAATTTGTGTCATAAACTTTTCAGGTAGGCTGCTTTTTAGGTGGGTAGGTAGGCAACATCAAACAATTTAATTTTTATTTCTGACCTTAGCTTACCTGTACTGCTGTATCTTCATGTTTACTTGATTGATTGAGTACATTCATACATCTGTCAAATGCTTCTTGTAAGACCTGAATATAAACAAACAAATATAACTGTGCAAATAAATATTGCTACATTACTGAAAAATTATAATAATGGCTGTAGAAACAAGACCAATACTGGGTCTTGACCTGCATCAATGCATGTAATTGATTGAGGTTGAATAAAATTGAGAATGGAAACAGGGAATGCGTCAAAAAGACAACAACCCGACCAAAGAGCAGAAAACAGCCCGAAGCCACCAATGGGTCTTCAACACAGCAAGAAAATCCAGTATTAATGTATACTGAAGCATAACTGATCATTCCCTTTCATTGAAGGTAAGATTGATTTGTGTTTAACACAACTTTCAGCACTATTGGGCTATTTCGTGGCGGTCAGATTTTATCAGTAGAGGAAGCAGGAGTGCCCAGGGAGAATCACTACCTTGGATAGGAAAACTGACAATCCTAGTCAATTAAGATCGAAGTTGAATACACCTGCCACATGTGGGATTCAAACTGACAACCTCAAGAGTTGACTGGCTAGTGGTTGGACTACTAAGAACAATTTGCCAGCGATTCTCCTTTTTCTTTTTAAAAGGTCAGAAAACATTATGTAACATAGATGGTATAAGTGTGAAATGAATATCACTCCTTTTTCATTAATGTAGGTTAACAAAAGAAATTAGTTTGAGTACTAAAACACTCCTTTTTCTATAATCTTATTTCTATAATATGTTTAAATGCATTTTGATTGATTTGAAAAGTATCCATTCTTAAAACTGCATCAGGCAAAAAGACCTTTTATCTTATCACTATAATCATGAGTTGTCGAGATCTATGCAGGGTTAAAAGCTGAGCATGACAAATTGGACACCTACCTGAATACCATGTTCCTTTCATAACTCCTCTGCATTTAAGGCAGAACAGTTGATAGTACGATGTCATTAAAAATTGGACACCTACCTGAATACCATGTTCCCTTTGTAACTCCTCTGCATTTAAGGCAGAACAGTTGACGGAATGATGTCATTACAAATTGGACACCTACCTGAATACCATGTTCCCTTTGTAACTCCTCTGCATTTAAGGCAGAACAGTTGACGGAATGATGTCATTACAAATTGGACACCTACCTGAATACCATGTTCCCTTCGTAACTCCTCTGCATTTAAGATAGAACAGTTCATAGTATGATATCATTACAAATTGGCCAATTACCTGAATACCATGTTCCCTTCGTAACTCCTCTGCATTTAAGGCAGAACAGTTGACGGTATGGTATGCTAACTCTGTTGCTGCTGACAGTAATGGCGCTGACTTTGAGAACAGCTGGTCATCATTCGTCTCCATTCTGATTGTTTTGATCAACATTGGGTATCCAGCATATTTGTATGGTTGTAATTCTGTAACAAAAATAAGCTACTGTAAAGTAGGTTCGAAAAAAAATATCATTTAAATGAGGCTCATAATTTTGTATGCCAGACGTGCATTTTATTTAAAAGAAACATCAAAGAAGACAAAAGGTAAAAAAAGTATGAAGCTGAAAAGCATTTGAAGGACCCAAAATTCCAAAAGGTTTTGACAAATACAGCTATTGTAATATATTTCTAGGGTAGAAAATCCTTAGTATTTTGGAAAATTCAACATTTTGTAAACAGTTAGATTAAAAATACTAGATATCATTGAGATGGAAGCCATCTCTGTGGGCCCCGCTGTGAATAATGTGTGGTAAAAAATTTGTATCTTTATCATTGGACATGGGGTTGTCAACTGAAACCAAAGTTTTTTGACCTTGACCTTTGACCTAGGAAGTTGTACATAAATTATGACACACCCTCTGGTGTTGGTTTATATACATGTCAAGTATACATTTTGAAATCATAACGGTTCTCAAGATATAGAGCTGACACGATCTTTACCATAGGACATGGGGTTGTCAACTAAAACCAAAGTTTTTGACCTTGACCTTTGACCTAGGAAGTTGTACATACATTATGACACACCCTCTGGTGTTGGTTTATATACATGTCAAGTATACATTTTGAAATCATAACAGTTCTCAAGATATAGAGCTGACACGATCTTTACCATAGGACATGGGGTTGTCAACTAAAACCAAAGTTTTTGACCTTGACCTTTGACCTAGGAAGTTGTACATACATTATGACACACCCTCTGGTGTTGGTTAATATACATGTCAAGTATAAACTTTGAAATCATAACGGTTCTCTAGATATAGAGCAGACACAATTTGTTACGGACGGACAGACGGACGGACATGGTTGTCAACTAAACCTAAGTTTTTGACCTTGACCTTTGACCTAGGAAGTTGTACATACATTATGACACACCCTCTGGTGTTGGTTAATATACATGTCAAGTATAAACTTTGAAATCATAACGGTTCTCTAGATATAGAGCAGACACAATTTGTTACGGACGGACGGACAGACAAACGGACAGATGGACGGACGGACAGATGGACGGACGGACGGACAGACGGACAGACGGACGGACAGACTGATCACTATAGGGCTTCCGCCATTCGGCGGGGAAATATTAATGATCATGAAATCACTTTTTGGCTTGAACATTGCACTTCTACGCATTAGTAAAATATGGCAAGAAACTGAATTTTCAGCACAAAAATCACATTTAACAAAAATTACCCCTTAACAACCCTCCTTGATGCATTTTTCTGAGAAAGAAACTAGACAACTGTACAAAAATTACCACTGACCATTCAAAAATGATCTTTTAAAAATTTCTAAAAAAACTACTTTATCTGTCCCAAATCAAGCTATGATATATTCTGACAGAAATTCCTCAAGTTGTGTACAACTATTGTATCTCAGAAGGCTGAATGATGACATTATGGACAAGAATTAGCATCATGCCATGTCCACACAAGGGGCAGCAGAAAAAAGTTTTTATCAATTTCATAGCTACTCTCTTGAACTGTAGATTCAGAAATTGTTGCAATATTTTTATTATTGCGAAAAAGTACGATTTTTCAGTTTCACAATAAAAAAAACTTGCATTCATAATTTCAGTAGTGATTTTCCTTAATAATATTTTTGAAATCACATTAATTAGATTTCCCATTTGTGACAGAGGTCAAGGCATTACAATAATAAATGCATGTATGAATATCTGAATTTACAACCGAGGTGGATATATTGTCTATTTTATATTTTTCCTACCTTCCTTGTGCCTTCTAAATAAAATGGACTGGGCTTTAAGTATTAGCACAATGTTCTGTGGGTCTGGACCATCTTTTAATCTTGATTTACTACATAAAAATTCATATGCTGTGTTTACTTTTTCAAACATATCCTGAAAAGAATTGATTTAGAAATATTAAAGAATCTTTTTTGTCATATGTCGCTATGAAATGACAACCTTGTTCATAATTGAACACATAATCACCAAAATAACCAGAATATTAAAACAATCTTTATCAAGTACCATTAATTTGCTTAAGTTCCTACATGTATTTCCTTGGTAAACTTTGGAAAAACACATATATAGCTAATTCATGAAGTCTTACAAAATATCCACATATTGTGCTATGTTTAGTGATTCCAAACATTCTAGATATCTCTGTTACAACCAAATTTTATTCCCCCAACAACGCAAAACACTAAGGAACAGCTTTTTCATTCCTGTTCAACACCCAAATTCTAAATCAATATGATTGTAATGACACTTTTGATTGGATGATTGCCCTCAATTCCACGGTTGATAGTCAGAGTTGAAAACAATGCTGCACAATTGCAGTCAACCTTATATAATATTTCAAATGTTGTTTTTGAACATTTAACTAGTACTGTGGATTCATTATTGGATTTTGTGGGTATAGGCGTTAACCACAAATTAAAATATTTAACAAAAATATAATTTTCTATAGGATTGTATGAAGACTTTGGCAAAAACCCAAAATCAAATATCCACAAAATAGCAAAATATCCTCAATCCATGAAAATAAATGAATCCACAGTATTCTATTTATAGAGTACTGTGATTGAAGAGTTACCACTGAAAGTCAGTAAAACTACATTTGTGACTGTCATATCAACAACTGATATTCAGTATACATTTACATTTATACGAGAGTTCTAAAATATTGTAAATAACTATTTCTTACCCTGCCCTCAGGATTTTTATCTGGATGGTATTTCTGGGCTAGTTTGAAGTAAGCTTTTCTAATTTTTGCCTCATCATGACTGAAAATATATAAGATATGATAGATTAGATACATGTATGTGAGATCATAACAATCAAACAGTAACCAAATAGAACAGCAAAAATCTTCTGAGTACAACAAGTGGCAGAGTGGTTCATCTACTGTATCACTAAGCCTGTCATCACTAAGGTTGTGAGTTCAAACCTTGCATGTGGCAGGTCCAAACTTAATTGACTAAGATTGTCATTTTTGCCTGCTGATGGTTGCGGTTCTCTCAGGCTTCCTACACCTTGCCACAAAACAGCCAATATTGTTGTAAGTGGCATTAAATACCAACAATCAATCAATCAATCAATCTGAGTACAAATAGAAGAATTTGCAACCTAAGTCTTAGAAAATTCACGTAGTTAATAAACTGAAAATCAAAAACAAAAAAAAACAATTTGCCAGTACCAAAACACTGATACTGTTGAGATGGTACTCTCTTAGTCTGTCAGTCCATCCAGCAGTGTTACTGACCCAATGATAAAAATAAAACCTACATACAATTTAGTGTAAGTTTATAAATTTAAGATCTTACCCTCCAACACCTTTCTGTAAATGTAATACAGTCAGTGCATCATCTATTGACATGGTTGGTGGTTTCTTCTCTACTTCTTTCTTCCATGCTTCTAAAATGTCTTTTAATAATTTAACCTGTTAAAACAAAATAAAATTCATCTTTAAATTAACTTTTTATAATCAAGTCAAAACAATAAATTAATGATTTCTACATAAATCTACATTTTCTATGGAAATTTCAAGTTGAAACACTTTTTTTGTTGTTGACAAAATGAAGAATTCAATAAACTATTGATAAATGCAATATTACTTTCTTTTAGCATGTGTAAACTATTATTTTCTATTTCAGGCCAAATAAGTGCTGTTTTTTTCTGGCTAACATTGTTAGAATACATCGCAAAAAATGAGAAAACAATACTGAAACTACTATAAACTAAACACCATAAATTCTTACTGACTAAGTTTAAGGAGATCTTAACCAAATTGTCTACAAATTGGTTAGATTCCTTAATGTTATACAAAATTAACAACTGTATAGGTTGCAATCTATGAATTTTTGCTCATCAAATATCTAACTAAAATATAGTACATGCCAAAACACACAATTAACAGTGCCTGGTGATGATCCATAACCTGACCAGTTTACGTCCTTCACAGACCTTCCTCAGAGGCTTATCAAATATCTACTTTAAACATAACCTAACACATAATTAACAATTTAGGGATTCCATCAGTAGATGTTTTAATCACAGAAGCTTTAGGAACTATATGATAAAATTGGCAACTATTTAGTCAGCAGTTGTTCAAATAACAGAAATGCTTTACACATTGTTTTACAATATTGTTAATTAAAACACTTATAGGATCCTTAACAGGCCAATCGGGGAATCTTTGGTGATCACAGAGATGCTTTACACATTGTATTAAAATATAGCTAATTAAAACACTTACAGGATCCTTAATAGGCCAATCAGGGAATCTTTGGTGATCACAGAGATGCTTAAGATAATATATATTACAAAACAGTTCATTTTCTAATTGTGGATAGTTTATGACTGGTATAGGACAATACTGGTACAAAGATCGTGTGTTGCTTTGGAGACGTGGTGAAAAGTCAGCGATGTGTGACGCAATCTTCTCTATCATAAGTCGCCTGTGAAAAAAAAAATATTTTGTTGAAACATAATAGTTGTGTCAAAGCTTAATGTTTTGGTTATATGGAGAATTTGATTTTTTCTGTGTAATCTATTCATAACTTATATAAAAAGATGGAGAATGTGTCCACACATATGATTCCCCCGCTTGCATATAACATTATAAAGGTACATAACTCAAGAACATTAAAAGTGATGCAACCTAAATTCGAACTTGGATCTCTTTTTTTGTGGCAATAAGCATTGTGTATAAGTTTCATAACATTTGGTTGAGGCAAACTAAAGTTAGAGAATGGAAACTAATTTTTGGGCATACGGACAGACAAGGGTAACACTTGCGGTGGGGCATTAGAAAAGTTTAGTGCTCGACATATTGTATAAACACCAGCTGCCAACTGTTGAAGAATGTGTGTTGCCCTCTTAAAGTCTTTTGGTTATGTTGATAATTTTGTTGCTGTCCAATTGACGCATACTCCTTTTATTCATAATGCAATTTTTGTATCTTCGGTTTGTCCGTTTTATTGATAGAAAAAATCAGCTATATATATATTATACTGAATAATAATGCATTTTTACAGAATACAAATGACAAACTACCAACTAATTTTTTTGGATGCTTATATATATAGTTGTAAATTCGGAAATTATTGCGTGCATTTATGATTGCGATTTCTGAAAAATGGACAAAAATGTGAGATCAATCATTGTGATTTCAAGAAAACCTGCATACAAATATATGTATTATACATGTATATCAGAAAGTGAGTTTTTTATTATTGTGATACTCACCCAATCGCATTATTCACATTAATAAAAACCTCGCAATAATTTCTGAATTTACAGTAGCAGCTTATACAGTACGTAATACACCATTACTACAAGACTAACCTCATTTCTGTATTCCAGATAGCTTCTGGAGTATCAAATTCTCCCAAGAATATCTGAGCAAATTTGTCTGCTGAGTAATTCTCTAAATAACAGACCATGGCCTCTGGTAATATGTGACCGAGCACACTTCTGTTCATGATGTCAGAACTTTTTTTCTAAACATGAGAAAGAGAGAAAACTGACTTGAGGCATTCAAATTGAGGTTGTTACAACCAGAAAATAATACAAGAAACAATTCTTTTGCTGCTTGTTTCTAAATGTTTGCTGATTGTTTGTCATAGAAAGTTACCAAATATCAAAAATAAATAAAATGCTCCGCAGGGCGCAGCTTGATACGACCGCAGAGGTCGAACCCTGAACAGTTGGGGGAAGTATGGACACAACATTCAAGCTTGATACAGCTTTGGATTTGGATTGTGATTAAATATTTGACACAGCATAGGTTTCTAACACAGATTGAATGTGGTCTAAGAACTTAAAAATTTTAAATTGGACATTCACCTATTATGGTCCAATATCCAAAATCTAAATACATGGTTAGATTCAGCATATCAAAGAACCCCAAGAATTCAATTTTTGATGAAATCAAACAAAGTTTAATTTTGGACCCTTTTGACCTCAATGTGGACAAAGTTGATAACGGGGCCCAAAAATAAAAAATCTAAATACATGGTTAGATTCAGCATATCAAAGAACCCCATATATTCAATTTTTGTTGAAATCAAACAAAGTTTAATTTTGGACCCCGATTTGGACCAACTTGAAAACTGGGCCCATAATCAAAAATCTAAATACATGTTTAGATTCAGCATATCAAAGAACCCTAAGAATTCAATTTTTGTTAAAATCAAACTAAGTTTAATTTTGGACCCTTTGGACCTTAATGTAGACCAATTTGAAAACGGAACCAAAAATTAAGAATCTAAATACACGGTTAGATTCGGCATATCAAAGAACCCCAATAATTCAATTTTTGATGAAATCAAACAAAGTTTAATTTTGGACCCTTTTGACCTCAATGTGGACAAAGTTGATAACGGGGCCCAAAAATAAAAAATCTAAATACATGGTTAGATTCAGCATATCAAAGAACCCCACATATTCAATTTTTGTTGAAATCAAACAAAGTTTAATTTTGGACCCCGATTTGGACCAACTTGAAAACTGGGCCCATAATAAAAAATCTAAATACATGTTTAGATTCAGCATATCAAAGAACCCTAAGAATTCAATTTTTGTTAAAATCAAACTAAGTTTAATTTTGGACCCTTTGGACCTTAATGTAGACCAATTTGAAAACGGAACCAAAATTTAAGAATCTAAATACACAGTTAGATTCGGCATATCAAAGAACCCCAATAATTCAATTTTTGATGAAATCAAACAAAGTTTAATTTTGGACCCTTTGGACCTCAATGTGGACCAATTTAAAAACGGGGCCCAAAATCCAAAAACTAAATACACGGTTAGATTCAGCATATTAAAGAACCCCATGAAATCAAGAATGAAACCCCATTGAAATTGGTCAAGAAATAAGCAATTTATAGGAAGTATCTTCTTTTGCACAATCCTGTGCTATTAAATATTTCTTGCTATTGCGCAATACTGTACAATTGACAATTTCTTGCTATTGCGCAATATTGTGCTATTGGATATTTCTTGCTACTGCGCAATACTGTACAATTGAAGATTTCTTGCTATTGCGCAATACTGTGCAATTGAAGATTTCTTGCTATTGTGCAATACTGTGCAATTGAAAATTTCTTGCTATTGCACAATACTTATTATATAATAATTTACACATCCTGTTTGGTGTGTATCTCCTACCATATCATTATTATTTGATTTTAAATATAAATCAGAAATAACCAACTTAAAATGGAAAATTTTAAAAGAAACAAAAAAGGAAAAAAAGAAAAAAAAGGAAAAAAAAAATAAATCCCCCCCCAAAATTTTTTGAACCCCCATTATGATTCATCACCCCCAAACTCAATCCCAGCCTTCCCTTTGTGGTATGGTACCTTGCAGTACAATTTCAGAAAGATCCATACACTTGCACACAAGTTATTGTCATGAAACTAGAAAAATGCTTGTTTTTTGCCCCTTTTTTGACCCCTAATTCCTAAAATTTGGAGGCAATTACCCCCAAAATCAATCCCAGCATTCCTTTAGTGATATGGAACCTTGTGGTACAATGTCAGAGAGATCCATACACTAACACACAAGTTATGTCAGGAAGTTACAAAAATGCTTATTTTTGGCCCCTTTTTGGCCCCTAATTCCTTTACTGTTATTACCATAACCCCCAAAATCAATCCCAACCTTCCTTTTGTGGTATTGAACCTTGTGGTAAAATTTCATAAAGATCCATTCACTTAAACTAAAGTTAGAGTGCGAAAACCAATGTGTCTTCGGACGACGACGACGACGCCGGACGACGACGACGCCAACGTCATACCAATATACGACCACAAAAATTTTTTTGCGGTCGTATAAAAACTATTTTATCAATCAGGTATTTATTAAAGTTTTGTTTACATGCCCTAAATGGTCCTAGCCATACTGATAACATTTACTACAACTTTTACTTGAATTTCAAATTTTATCTATCTTGCATTTTACAATAAATGTTGCAAAATTTTAAAGTCTGTGTCTAACTATTACATTTGTCATTCTGGGCCTTTTATAGCTGAATGTGTAGTATAGGTTTTGTCCATTGTTGAAGGCCGTACAGTGACCTATATAGATATAAAAAGGTGTGGTATGAGTGCCAATGAGACAACTCTCTATCCAAGTCAAAATTTATAAAAGTAAACCAATATAGGTCAAAGTACGGTCTTCAACACGGAGCCTTGGCTCACATCGAACAGCAAGCTATAAAGGGCCCCAAAAATTTCTAGTGTAAAACCATTCAAACGGGGAAACCAACAGTCTAATCTATAAAAAAAACGAGAAACGAGATACACTTATGAACCACATCAACAAACAACAACTACTGAACATCAGATTCCTGACTTAGGACAGGTGCAAACAATTGTAGCGGGTTTAAACGTTTTAATGGTACCAAACCTTCAAATAGTTAACTTCTATGTCATTTGGTATCGGCTGGAGTGTAGTCTCATTGGCAATCATACCACATCTTCTTATTTTTGTATTAATGCTAACTAATCAGATAAGAAATTATAAGTTAATATAAGCAAAATATTTAAAATATGGTCTAAAATGACTGAGATACACTCCCTCTATATTCAAAATATGAAAACTGTTTTGAAACAGTCCCTTACTTACCTCGTCTGATCTGAATGCTTGACTGACATGGGTATATTTCATGAATCTGGCTACAGGTAAAACGTTTGATCCAGTGTACATCATCATAAAATAAAAAGCACCTGTGAGATACAGACGTGATATGTTTGGATTGTCCTGCATAATGTCATACAATAAACTGGCAATCTTCTCCACTAAAATGGGGTCAAAGGTTAATAACAACTGAAAACAAATGAACAAAAGTTTACGTAAATATTATAATGGGGAAATCAAAATCATATGTTGAAGTTTGTGTTGCTCAATCTTGAGTTTTTTATGTAGTTTTTTGTTGACTTGTTTGTCTTTTTGTTGTTTTATTTCGGTTTTTGCCATGGTGTTGTGTCAGTTTTTCTTAGACTTAAGAGTTTTGGTATTTTCTGCCTCTTTTTTGAAGACCAACTGACAACAAGATGGCCAGAAGACAATAGAGGAAACAGCTAACAGAAAACAGATGTTTAGTAGTATCATGCCAAACTGTGGGACTCCAGTGGGGGAGCCTGCATTAGTTCACAAGGTCATGTTTAAAAATTGCCTCAAGGTGACTGGTCACTTTTAAGCAAATTTAACAAAGTCAGTTTTGAACAGTTATAAAGGTCACAGGTCCTTTAAATGAGATGTCAGGTCGCAAGATCCATTGAAGGTCGCCCTCCAAACTCCCCAAGATCACAGGTCGATTTGACCATGTTGGAGCCACAACTGTTACATTTCACAATGTTTTTATTTCAAGCTAAATAAGAACAAAGTGATTCATTAGCCTTTGTCTTACAATGCTTTGTAGCATTTCAAATTTGGCTCTATTTTCCAAATTAATAATTTAACTGTAAAACTGTTTATTAATTGCTAATTTCTTTCAGTATACAGCATTTATGTGCAGGGAAACTCATATGGAATAATAGCTATGTTCAATATAACGAAATTTGACCTTTTTGTTTTAATTGATTGATGATTTCTTTTTAAGGCTCTCAGTAAAAGTATTGGTCTTGTTTGAAGTCTGTGGATTCATTATTTTTCTTTGGATACCAATTTTTATTGGATTTTGTGGGTACAGGGTCATCATGAATTAAAATGATTAAGAAATTATAACTTTTCCATAGGAAAGTATGCAGATTTTGGAAAAATTACAAGTTTTAAAATACTGTAAATTCAGAAATTATTGCGAGGTTTTATAAATGCAAATAATGTGACTGAATGAGTATGGCAATAATAAAAACTTGCATTCTGGAATGTAAATAATGTCACTGGATGAGTATCACAATAATAAAAACTTGCATTCTGACTGTATGCAGATTTTTTTGAAATCACAATAATTAATCTTGCATTTAAGTCCATTCTTCAAAATTTGAAATAACAAATGCACGCACTAATTTCTGAATTTACAATACCAACGAAAATAAATGAATCCACAGTATTAAAAATATTAATTTCCTTATCAAACAGTAATTTAAGTTATCTTTAGATATTAAATTTCACCAAAAGTACATTTGAAGGACAATCTCTTGTACGTTTCAACTTACCTGAACTATGTGAGGAAGACAAACAGGGTCTGACAATAATCTATTGATTCTTGGCAGTGGTCGGATTATTGCACCATCAGCATCCCTGAAATCAATCCAATAAATTTGAATTTATTTTTTAGGTTTGGTTTTGTGCTCAGAATGATATAAGGATATTTGTCCTTGAAAGCCTGTTCACAATTAATTCATAAATATGAGTTAAGCATATTAAATTTACCTATGATTTACAAGAGAACTTAAGACTTTTTAAACTATCCAAACCCGTTCTTTTTTTAAGGTTTCTTATTTATAATAGGAAAGATTCTATATATCTTAATATTGTCTCTCTTATCTTTTTTGGCAGTATTTATATGTTTTGATATGTCCCCCTAATGATTAAGGATAGTATTCAGACATTCTGATATTGTCCTTTTTATTGAGTGTTCTTAATAGGAAAGTATATAGTCATTTTGATATTTGGCCCTATTACTAGTTAGAATAGTATCCATATATATTGACTTTGTCCCTCTTATCTGCTAATATATAGGACAGTATTTAGATATTTTTATATGGTCCATTTTACCCATTATGATAGTAATCAGACATTTTGATAATGTCCCTCTTACCGGCTAGGATAGTATCCAGACATTTTGATCAACATATTGAGTATTAAACAGGCCAGATCACTTTCATTCAAGACTGGTTGACTAGTGGCCAGTATTGTCCATTTCAGTTGCGGCACAGACTGTAATGGTCGCCAGCCATCCATTCCTTGTGCCCAACATCTAGTCTTTGCATGAACTACACCTTCTTCCCACCAATCTTTCATCTATCATTATAATAAAAAGAATATCATAAAAGGTTTACTTAAAAGTTAATTTTTATTCTGCACCAAAATGATTCTCTAATTTCACAATGATGTTAAAACATTTTGTAGACTTATTGGGTTACCTCCCCCTACATGTTATGCAGACTTTACCTCATCAAAACTATATGGTCCAAGTCTTTCTTTATCTTTGTTTCCATAATACCATTCTTTCTCTGTTTCTCTCTTCATGTCTGCTCCAGCTTCTATCACATTGCTCTGAAAATTTTCATATAATCAATGCAATACTAAACTTGGGTAATCTTATTGGCATAGAATTGTTCATGTGACCTGCCTGTTCAACAGTATGAAGAACAAACTGCCACTTTCAAATCATGAATCTTTTGAGAAAAAAAAACACTTGATGTTTTGAAAAGATTGTAATTCAACCACAATATTAGTTGATTTCACTTCATAAAAAAAAATCATTTTTGCTACTCAAAATTCAAATTTCAAATGTGACTTGCAATCATAACTGATCTTATAATTTGAATGTGAGTGATTTTAGTACTTGCTGAGTCAACTTTCTATTACATAATATAAAAAGAATAAGGTAATTTTTCAATGAACTATACCAACCTGTAATGGGACTGTTGCCCTGGACGTATGTAAATGAGCTAAGGTTAAGAGGTCAACTAGTACTTTAATTCCATTAGCATCCATAATTTCTTTCACATTTTTCTAAAAATAAACATTAATATTACAAAATTGTAATCTTATTCTGACAATTTCTAATAATAACAAATCAGTAGTTTTTATCAACTAGTTTTGATGTGTCCCATTCATAATGTTGTTGTAAACTCTTAAGTAATTCTAATTCAAGCCACTTTAACTTATTTTTTCAAATAATAAAAGTCAACTTTTTTTTACTCTGTGTTGCTACAGTTTAATGTAAAGTCTTGTGTCAGATTCTTTGTAGTGTCGCTTGTGTTTTATTTTCAATATGAAGGAAATGAAATTAGATTTTGAATACAATTTATTTAAGGAGAATCTGCTTTCAAACCAAAAGACCAAACTGGCTTGTAAATATCTAATTCAATGTCATTCTGTTGAAAAATTGAATCATTTTATACGTTATATACCTTCTCTTAGGGCTGTTCCATAAAAAAAAGACATGGGACCCAGGAAAGGCATTTTGAAATCTCCACTATGGGTGGGAGACAAGTAAAGTGAAAATGTAAGTAAAATTCTAAATTTGCCTCTATAGGTTGTTACTTTATTTTGAAAGTGCTGCCCCTGGGTACCATGTATGTTTAGATGGAACAGCCCTTAACAGAAGATATCGTTTTAAACAGTATAAAAAAATATGGATATTTTCGTAGATTGTATTTTCGTGTTTTCAATGCCTCATCTCTTGGCGCTGGTATTGAACTTCCCCACCAAGGACAAGTTTGCACATCACATCATTATTTTATCATTTAAAATGATTTATACGCATCTTTTAATTGGGAGATATTTTTGTGCATTTTTACATGATCAAAATAAGTGATAAAAACCCTTGCAAAATGTCCATGTTTACAGTAAGGAAAAAATGCTCCGCTGGGTGCAGCTTGATACGACCGCAGAGGTCGAACCCTGAACAGTTGGGGCAAGTATGGACACAACATTCAAGCTTGATACAGCACTGAATTTGGATTGTGATTAAATATTTGACACAGCATAGGTTTCTGACACAGAATGAATGCTGTCTAAGAACTTAAATTTTTTTAATTTACCTATTCAAACCATATCATTATTATTTGCTTTTATATATAAATCAGAAAAAAACCATTTAAAATGGAAAATTTTAAAGAAAAAAAAATCCCTCCCCCAAATTTTTTGAACCCCCTTATGATTCATCACCCCCAAACTCAATCCCAGCCTTCCCTTTGTGGTATGGTACCTTGCAGTACAATTTCAGAGAGATCCATACACTTGAACACAAGTTATTGTCTGGAAACTAGAAAAATGCTTATTTTTGGCCCCTTATTCCTAAACGTTTTGGGCAATAACCCCCAAACTCAATTCCAGCTTTCCCTTTGTTGATATGGAACCTTGTAGTACAATTTCAGAAAGATCCATACACTTACACACAAGTTATTATCATGAAACTAGAAAAATGCTTGTATTTTGCCCCTTTTTTGGCCCCTAATTCCTAAAATTTTGAGGCAATTACCCCCAAAATCAATCCAAGCATTCCCTTTGTAATATGGAACCTTGTAGTACAATGTCAGAGAGATCCATACACTAACACACAAGTTATGTCTGGAAGTTACAAAAATGCTTATTTTTGGCCCCTTTTTGGCCCCTAATTCCTTAACTGTTGGTACCATAACCCCCAAAATCAATCCCAATTCCTTTTGTGGTATTGAACTTTATGGTAAAATTTCATATAGATCCATTCACTAAAACTAAAGTTAGAGTGCGAAAACCAATGTGTCTTCGGACGACAACAACGACGACAACGCCAACGTCATACCAATATACGACCTCAAAATTTTTTTGCGGTCGTATAAAAATTGGCTTCACTTTTAGATTCTAAAAAGAATAACAAAAAAATATGTCACTTGATGTATTATATACTTACAGGATGTAGAATTAATTTCTGTAAAAATAAAACTAATCTGTCTCTTTCCAGTTTGTCTGTACACTAAAAAATATCAAACCAAAAAAAAATGTTATATATTTTATACTATATGTTCAAGTTAATTATTCATGATTTTAAAGTGATAGTTTGTTCTTATAATTGTTGAACAGGCAGCTGGTCACATGGAGAATTCTATGCTAAATAGATTACTCAAGTTTAGTATTGCATTGTTAAGATAATAATTCTAAGAACAATGTGATAGAATGACCAAGGTTCTAGTTCTCAAATTTACTTGATTCCTGACAGTCATAAATTTATACTAAGTCTTTATCTAATCGTTGCTAGATTTTAAAGTTGAATAAATCAATGAGATTGCTTTGTTTTTTGATTGCATTAATTTAACACTGAAAGCCAATATTTTATTCAAACTTTTTTAATAAACTTTCAGTTTTCTTGTAACAATATGTTACATCCTTGGCGTTCATATATTCGGCTGTGAGCATTCCAGATGAAGGTAAATCCAGAAAAGCGCTTTATTAAGTGTTGTTTTCATTTTTTACACATCTTCAACTTTTTAAAACTCCCTTCCTTAAATTTCATTTATTCACACATACACATGTGTGTGTTCTGTTTTCAAATAGTTAAATGTCAATATGATTTACAGCTTTACACATAATCTGGCATGTCCATCCATCATGAGGTCAATAGGTTAACCGAAAGAAGTCTATTTTTAGTTTGATTATGATGTTGGTTTGCTTTCTCTTTGACATCTACCTCACATCACCCTTAATTCACATTTTACCCCAAATGCATCACTCACCCTTTCAAGCATTCCAACCATATATTTTGTATCATTAAATGCTCCGATTTCTTCATGACATCTCCCATACACAATAGTCATGGCCTGTAGACACATACATTTCATGGGAATTTTTGGTGTCAATAAAAATCTATGGTACAGATCATTGAAAAATTCATAGCTGCAAATAAATAATAATAATAATAATAAATAAAACATTATACTGTCATTTATCCTTTCTTATAAAGATTTAAAAATCAATGCATGCTGCTGATTTATAGCATATTTTAATTTGAAATTGTTTAATTCCTCATTTCAAAATAAAAGGTATGTAGAGAATTGCAAATTGAAATATTAAAATGTCTTAATATAAAAATAAGAAGATGTGGTAGGATTGCTAATGAGACAACTGTCCACCAGAGACCAAATGAAGTAGAAGTAAGCAACTATAGGTCACTGTACGGCCTTCATCAATGAGCGAAACCGACATAGCGCAGCAAGCTATAAACAGGCCTGAAATGAAATTAGACAAAATAAAGGTCCTTACGATCGTTTAATGGCACTGGTCTCTTCCGATTCATTGTCATCTTCCTCAAGCAGCAGACGCAGATAGTAATCACCTATAAAAAAAAACATTAACAAAAAACCTTATGACAAAGTGCTATTTTAGTTGGTTGACTGTTATGGAATATGTTCCAATTGTAGTAACCACAATACTGTCTTCTTTTCCTCAAATGTGACATCACCAAATTAGACTTATCACCAAGTATTATCTTACATAAGCAACACGATGGGTGCCACATATTGAGCTGGACCTGCTTACCCTTTCAAATCACCCCCTGTTTTTTGTGTAACTCAGTCTATAATTTTCTATGTTGTGTTTAGTATACTGTTGTTGGTCTTTTTGTTGTTTCTTCTTTTTTGCCATGGCCTTTTCAGTTTTTCATTCACTTGTGAGTTTGAGTATCTTCTGTCTCTTTTGTAGTGAAATACTGGAAGTGGAGGGTTCTGAATATGCATGAAATATTTCGACGGACATTTTTGTTTTCCAATAATTGCATACTAAGATATGGTCTACAAACATCCTTTTATAAATAATACTAAAAAAATCTTTTTAACTGGTAATTGCTGTTACCTATTTTAATTTCATCACTAAGACAGACATATGGCACTTCAAATTCCTTATGGTTCCACCCTATCACACATTTGGCTCCTAGTTCCTTGTCGACAGCAAAGGCTCTCATTTCATTCTCTAAACATTCTCGTAATTCTTCTCTTGTCTAAAAATAATTAGATTATTTCCCTTGATAATTGAAAATATTTATATTTTAGGGCATATCGTTCAGTTTCAGGGAAGATAATTAGAAGCAAATTACTGGCTATTTTTTTCTCTCAAACATATCATGTTGAAAATGATTGGTCACAATGAAGAGACAATTTTTTTCTATGAGGGTTTTCACACAATGAGATTTGGATTTTTGAAATGTTTACCTTATAATTGTATATGGTATCGTCTGTTGGTATCGTACAGTACAGGCACCATAAATTTAGCTTCCTTATAATACCAAATGAAATATTTACCTTGTAATTCCAGATGAGATTTGGTTTAGCATGGTCACGGTTAAAGTGGTAATAAAACAATTGCCAATTTGCTTCACTTTTAATTCTCTCTCTTCTTTTCCTCAACACCACTGGCTTTATATCATTTTGCTATTGGAGAGGAAAAAGAAAACATTAAGAATGGCTATAGTCCAAGGCAAATTACAAATGACCTTAAATAATGGTGTTTACTAACATTATGTGATATTTTTATCTAGTTGATGCAATCTAATTGGACACTGAAATTTTCAATGGAAACAAATTATTCTATTTGGCTATATTTCCAATACTAAATTTAATAAAATAAAATGTTCAATGAAATGCAATTGTAAGAAACTACTTGCTTTTTATTTTTTTTGGGGGGTGGGGCTAAACTTGTTTATAATATTGTTGATATTTTTGAAACAGAAAATAAAAATCGTAATGATGTACGTAAAAAAAATTACAATATATATTGAAAAAAAATAAAATTGAAAAATTGTGTTGAATGGATTCATCTCCAGCATTTTATTAAGAAAGAAAGGGTAATGAAGTGATAATATCTATAAACAATATAGTACCTGCTTTTGTTTCTGTAACCCAATCCTAGCTCTCCAATGCTGTAGAAATTCATCTACTTTTTTCTCTATCATCACTATGTTTGGATTTCGTCTGTTTTTGTTCTGAATATCCTGTGACAAAACCATACAGTGCATTTTTAATCATCATAATTCATCAAAGATAAAATTAATATCAGAGGTTTTGACTTTACCAATTTCAAAATAAATCGAAGAAAACATAATTTTTTGGGGTTCTATTCAATGCATATTTCTTTATTTACCTTCATTAGAAACACTCAAAGCAAAAATAGAATCAATTCTCCTTCAAATGATCAATCTTTCCTTTGGTATGATAAAATGATTTATAAACTGAAAATTTTCAATCAAAACATGACAAAAAACTTCAACAGACTAACTAAGCAAGCATATGCCTAAGGGCTATTCCAGAAGAAAAATCTGGGAGGGGTTGGGGCAGGGGTCAGAACTTTATTTCCATTTTGGGATATCAACAAAATTTCAAATGTTTTCTGTTACACATTAACCTGAGTGGAACTGACAAAATACACTCCCTCAACAAGGTTAAAAAAATAAAGTAGAGTTATGTCCCTTTAGGCATTTTTTTCTGGAAAAAACAAAAGATATAAATATGATTTCCTTCTAAGGCTCACATCAAGTCTTCCTAAAAAGAGGAAATATAATGTTAGTGTTTACATTTTTTCACACTAAGTTCAAAAAGAACATGTTAAAGACCCATTGGTGGCCTTTGGCTGTTTTCTGTTCTTTGGTCGGGTTGTTCTCTCTTTGACACATTCCCCATTTCCAATCTCAATTTTATGTTGAAAGGTAAACAAAATTAAGGAAAATTATTAAATGAATATTCTTATTCAATATACATTTGAATGCATATCATTTTGAATAAGGGTTGTTCCAAAATTGACCGTGGTGGGAGGGATAGGAGGCACTCAAACAAAATGAATTGTGGGAGGTTGCATTTTCCATACAATTTTGTAAGAATTATAAGTAAAATGAAAATTTTATTTCATGGGTGGTTGGGGTCTAAAAATAGTGCCTCCTATGCTTTCAATTATAGTACAGCCCTAAAGTTAAACAAAATGAAATCTTTCATTTTGAACTTCATTATAAACTTACTTGGGCCAGCTTGAGATTATCTCGTACATTGAGTTTGTCATTCTCTATAACAGGTACTTCTTCTTCAGAGTCTAAGTATGACAACAATCCTCCAGGCTGCAAAATATAAAGTCTGTCATATCATACTGTCTTCAATTTACTGAGACATCATTTTGAAATTTTTTTTCTAAAAAAAATATATTGTGGATCTATCTATTTTTCGTCTGCAATAATTTTCGTGGATCGAGTAAAATTTGTGTGTATTTTCATGGATAATTTATTTTGTGATTTTGCCAAAATTTGCATCATATTAGCCTATAGAAAATTTGTACTTCTTTGAACATCTTAATTTGAGATTCACTTATACCCACTAGCTATATATATAGATCCACGAAAATTGGTATCCTGTGAATATAATAATGAATTTACAGTATGTAAATATCTTTTGTAGTAATAAATGTTTCCAAATATTTGTTCATCGTTTGCCTTGACCTTTATATATCAAAGGGGTAAAGGTCATAAACAAATTTACTACATCATATTTCCTTTTAACTGTACAAAACAAGGAAGTGAGTGTTAGTGTGTGTCTTTGATCTATATTTTTAGTATTTTCTTTGTAATTACTTGGCATTTTGCAATTGAACAGTTTTTGGCCTCATTTAAATGTTGTTTTTTTTTTACATGACATTGTCGATATTTCTAAAAATTTCCTTTGACCTTTCTGTATTATAAATTTCCATCTCAAGCTACTAGACTTGTTTTTTTCTCAGTCTAGATGAAAGAGAATGCAATGACATCACAAGCTTACATTGCCTAAGAAAATAAGGATAAACAGATTATTGAGGGTCTTTCAAACGTGAGAAAGTTTCTTGGCTGCATCTCATCTATTGCCTTCAATGGGATTGTAGTCGAGAAACTCCCTCGTTTTCTCAAAACCATACATAATCTTTATTCTTCTATTTGTAATGTTGCACACTTAAAGACAATTGAGCTACTTGATAACTTACTACAACTCTTTTAAGCAGACCCATTGCTGTGGGATGGCCTGTTACCCATAATCCTACCAAGTGACGACTCAGCTGTCTGAAAAAAAAAGAGTAATGTATTTTTTCTGATTTCATGTAATTTGCACAAATTTCAATGATTTAAAGAACAGTTTTCTGCAAACTGTAAAAATTTACCGGTTGATAAGAGTATAAATTTTCGGTCTTTTCCTAAGTACGACACTACAAATACCACAAAAAATATCTTTACACAAACATTTTCTTTTCAAACATTGGATACATTTGTCAACATCAATAGAAGAATTAGATGTTTTTGAGAACTATACTTCAATGTCTGCCATCTCATTTTATACTTTATTGTTTTATAAACATGAGTGTTTACATTACTTTAGAAGTATTGAGAAAATCCGTATAAATGACTGATTCCCATAATCCTATAGTATTCAACTGTCAACATCCACTTGTCAATATAGTGTGTTAACATTGCTATGTTTATATGTCTTGAGAAGACCCCTCCAATATGACTTCCCATAATTCTACAGCACTTACTTATTTGTAAGAATCATGTTGTCAGCACTCTGTGTAAACATTGCTGTGTTTATATGTCTTGAGAAGACCCCTTCAATATTATGACTTCCCATAATTCTACAGTACTTACCTATTTGTAAGCATCCTGTTGTCTGCACTCTGTGTAAACATTGCTGTGTGTAGATGTTTTGGTAAAGCTCCTTCAGCTAAAGCTAGTTCCTGCATTTTTGCTGCTATTTCACTATCACCCTCCTTTGTTAAAAAAATATTTACATCAATATAAAGTAATCTACAAATTATTGTCAATAAAATGTCTTTCTCAAACAAAGCAAGCTAAATTACATTTTAATTTGAAAATATGCATGAAATAAACACCCTATCCTTATTTGTCACAGGATTTAGGATATCACAGACGTTCCTGCAAAATCGAGATGTCACAAGAGGTCACAAAGCAAAAATGATTGTTATATGACGTCAATAGGTCAAGTGTCACATAATCTTATAAAGTGATAAGGTCTATTATAGACTTATAGAAGATCTTTGATAAAGAGAAACTATCACCAACAAGAAGAACTTGATCATGGTTCTACAATTTTTTGGGGTTATTTAGCATATCTGGTCAGTTTACAAGAATGGGTCCATAGTACACGGATGCTCCACTCGCACTATCATTTTCTATGTTCAGTGGAATGTGAAATTGGGGTCAAAACTCTAATTTGGCATTAAAATTAGAAAGATCATATCATAGGGAACATGTGTACTAAGTTTCAAGTTGAATGGACTTCAACTTCATCAAAAACTACCTTGACTTTAACTTTAAGCGGGACAGACCGACAAACGGACGGACGGACGGACGAACGGAAGCACAGACAGAAAAACATAATGCCCTTCAACTATCGTAGGTGGGGCATAAAAAAATGTAAAAAGCACAAAAATTGTATAAACACATTAAATTCATGTATTACAAACTAAATAGACCTTATTAAACAGGACAAAAACCACCATATCTATGATAAAACTAACCTCAATGATGGCTTTCATCACTAAACCTGCTCCTTTAACAATGGCCATAGAAGGATGCTGGAATACAAAAATAATATACACATCAATCAATGATTTCAACTTTTTCAATGAAATAACAACATATATATTCAATCATTTCTTAATGAATGAGTTTGTATAAATCAAATGTGTCTTCTGTATTTTTTGTGATTACATGTATCTCCCTATTGTCCACAACCCTCAAGTAATCTACCAATCACCTTGACTGTTGAGTGATCAAAGAATCAAATAATATCATTTCAGTGTATGTAATTGTTTGCAGTCTGCCATACAGTATTCATTTTTTTTCATTTATTGTTTTGGCATAAATCAGACCAATGATTTTCTCAATTGAATTGCTTCACATTTTTAAGCTGGAGCCTTTCATAGCTTACTATATGGTATGAGTTTGTTCATCTCCTTATTTTTATATCATATTGAAGTTAAATACCCTTATACTGGGTTACATCAGACTTAAATCAAAAACACATTATATATCAACCTGAAAGAGTTTGAAGACAATTCTGCCATTACAAGCCACTGTCTCTAACAAGTTATCAAACTGGTCCCCATCTGTTGTCTCACTGTAGGGAGAGCAAAGGGAAAATGTCAGGAAATCCAACATGGCTGAGATCACTAAAGCTCCTGAACTATGTACCTACAAATACAACTCATTATGAAAACTGTGCTGATTGCTGTATCTTTTAGCAGTTATAAATGTTTATTGAATAGTTAAGCATGACAGTATTGATATCGACACATTGTACAATGATAGCTGATCTTAACAGCATACAACAAATTATAAAATAATAAAACTGGAAAATGACAGTTCTACATGAAAATGAGTACCATCAGTTTCAAAAGAGACCTAAAGAAATTTATTTGGCTTTATTCTTCATTAGTGTGTTTTAGATAGTAGATGCTTGGAAGTCTGAATGGAATTCATTCACAACTAGCCAAGACTCTATACAATTTACATTTTGCATGACACTTATCTTGTCAACGTATATTTGTTCCACCTAACAGAAGTTCCTCTGGAAACTTTGTTATAAACAATGTCATAATATCTGTTCCTGTTGGAACAATATTCTATATCATTTATTCCGTTAGGAACATTTACTGTAATATTTATTCCAGTGGAAATAATATTCCAGAATATTGTTTCCATTTGGAACTTATATTATGAAGGAACTTCTATTCCGTGACAATCTGACATTGGACACTGAAAGTTTACCTCTCAATTTTTTTTACTTTTTTACTGTATACTTGGGTTGCTGTTTTATTGACATTTACAATGCATTACATATCAGATAAAAATTGAGATACATGTTAAAAAGAATTGTTTGAAGCTGGAATTTTGCCTTTTTCTTACACAAATCCTGATACAAATATTCAAGTGCTGAACAAGTTAGAAAAACTGAAATTTCAATGGAAACTTACCACATGTTCATTAAACATTTCCAACAGGGTTTCTAAAAATTTTCTGGATGAAAGTAAGGAACTTTTGTTCAGTTGTTCTTGTCTGAGATCATAGTCATCATGCATAGGCTGAAAAGGAAACCACAAGATGCAATGGTTTTATCTGTTTTTCTGATTATAAGAAAATAAAACATTATTTTTGATGATCTGCAAACAATAATTTTTCTTGTATTGTAACAAGGCAAGGCCAAGGCCGTCTTTTTTCCATTGCTAAATGATAAAATGCAAAAAAAAAAATTTCGACCAGGAATTGAGAACCATTCATAAATCAGCCATAAAATAAGAAAAATCGTAGAAGAAATGGTGATGATACGGTGAATCTGATTTCGATCGCAGTATTAGTGGCAGTTCTAATTGCTAAAACTATAGTTTTAGTATTGTCTGTTAACAAATCCACATGAGACCTTATCAACCTTAATGAGCAGGAAAAGAGTATACTCATTTTCCATTAATATGCTTAGGTACAGGAAACCAGTACTCACTTTTTTGTAACACCTCTGCTATAACAACAAGCTATAAACAATCCGCAGCGTTTATTCCCAAAATAGTAATATGAAAGGTATTCCCTACACTATAAAGATTACTTTATGATACAAAGATGATTGAATAACTAAATAAATCTAGTATTTCGTATGTATTTGCATTTTTAAAATCGTACCTGCATCAATGCACACAACATGTCAACAGCTGCATGTGTAACACCATGGTCTTTACGCTTCATTGCTTTGACCACTTTCACACCAACTTTTTCTCTCATTCTTGAAAAGAAAAACATTTATTTATTTATTAAATGAGATTCAATAACCACACATTAATATATTCATCAAGAATAAAAAAAACAAATTTCATAAATACCCATCTAAACCAAACATTGTCGGGACTGTATAATTTATTCGCTTTTATAAATTGTTTGGTTTTGTCTGTTTTATCATTAGAATGGAAACAAACTACAACAATGTGATGTATCAAATAGTGATGAACCAAAATGGCTATTCCCAGCATCAAAAGTACAATCAAATATTGTGATGTATTCCCAGGTTCAAAAGTACCCATAAAATGACTAGAAAAGTTTAAAATATTTGACGTACAAAACTTTTATTTTTTTACAACCAGTGCTTAGCTCCTGACATTCAATAGGTCTTGCAACAGAATCTCCAAATTCAGTCACATCCACGCAATTGTTTTTTCATTGATTGCCTAGCTGTTTCACTATGGCATTAAGAAGCGTCAGCCAAATAATCATGTTAGCATTCAATAAGCAATTCACATTCCCACTTGTGATCGATTCTCACATTCTATTAAATCTTTTATGTGATTTGGGAGTTCATTTAGTGGAACACGATCATCACCAAGCTCCACTGCTGGTGGGATACCCACAAGGAACTCTACAGAACAAAAGGATTCAGATAGGGATATTTCTGCAGATTCAGCTATCAACTCTCTAAATGGGTCAAAGACAAAAATTTACGAGCCCGTTTTGGTGAAGTTGTGGCTTTCTAAACAAATGAACACACATGGATCAAAAGTAAAATAACAGAAATACCGAACTCCAATGAAAATCCAAATCGGAAAGTCCCTTATCAAATGGCAAAATCAAAAGCTCAAACACATCAAATGAATGGAAAACAACTGGCATATTCCTGACTTGGTGCAGGCATTTCCTTATGTAGAAAATGGTGGATTAAACCTGATAAAAGACACAATTGATCATTATACACCAACTGCTTTGCTAACAGAGGGGATGCATAATTTATTCAAAGAACCTTCTCTATGAACAGTAAAACAACCCTGTCTATCCTTTACAGGGATAATTCTATTTAATATGTATCAAATTACCTTGGTAGTCTTGTAAAAGCTTGGAAGCCTGCTTTTGAAGCTACCAATCTCCTGAGTGCAGAAAACTGAGCTTCTAAAGACTCAGAAGAAATAACTGTTTGATCTCCTTCTCTCTCTAGCAGACCTGATAGGGCCCCATTAATTAGTTTTTCTTTGTTCTCGGCAAACAGACCCTAAAATGACAAATGACAAAATCATAAATACTGTAAATTCAGAAATTATTGTGAGGTTTTTATTAATGCGGATAATGCATGCGAGTGAGTATCGCAATATTATTATCTCAGACACATATATCTGTTTGAATCTTTAACTGAAATCGCAAAAGTTTATTTCACATTTTTGTCCATTTTTCAACAATCGCAATAATAAATGTACGCATTAATTCTGAATTTAAAATTAATAATGAAATTCTTCAAAACTTACATGCAGTTTTAGGGATATTCCATTACAATGAATGAGGGACGATATACGTAGGAAAGGAAGATTTCTTTTGTACATTGGTTTTTAGAGCTGTTCCGTTAAAACATACATGGTACCCAGTGAAGGAACTTTAAAAATCGGGTAATCACCTATAGAGGCAAATTAAAATTTCACTTACATTTCCACTATGCAAAAAAATTGATGACACCCACTCATAGATGAGATATGGAAGTGCCTTCCCTGGATCCCATGTATGTTTTTAAGGAAAACCCCTTACTCATTTAAGATTGTATGTTCAATTGATGTATGCAAACGTTTTCAAAGAAAGTAGGTAGGTTGTGGATGGATTTTGGTAGTGCCTTTCTTCCCCCACCCCTCAACAATCAATTTAATGGATTAGTCCTTACAGCTTTATTTTGCATTTTACGATGTCCTATCTGTAGTCCAAATAATTATGACGTCTTGAAAGGCTATTTAAATTTTTTTCTGTGACGTCGTAGGAAGGCGTCACAAAAAAAAGTAAAATAGCCTTTCAAAATGTCATTATTTGGACTATCCTATCTGCTGAAGACAATTTCACAAATGCGTATATATAGTAAATAAAGCACATGTGTTACTCGTGAAAAATTACTTTTTTCTACGTAAATAAATTAAGTTTTAATTTTCAAATCAGAATTATTGATGGTCTTTGCTGAAAAGTAATTAAAAAATGAATACAGTTGTCATGGAATTTTGATTTCTTTATGATATTAGTTCTGAGCTTGTGATCATTGTCAGGTGTGAATTAAAAACACAGGTAAAAAGTGATTAGCGATCATTAGCCAATATTTCCCGGAGGCATGATATAGTTATTAGGAGGGCACCCAGGATTATCAAACTATACTGGAGTAGCAGTTTTATTACAGAAAAGGGATTTTAAAACAAAAACAAGTGCAAAATGGCGATTAAGAAACCTGATCTCAATGAAATGACCGAAATTATTTTGGAAAAAAATAAAAATTTGTCCTAAATCCCAATTTTTCGTTTAGGACAAATAGCTTGCAACTTAGGACATGACTGGCAAATATGACTGTTTCCGGACCCTTGGTTCAAAGTAAATAGAAAAATATCACACACTGTTTACAGTATAATCAGATCAAATGATTTTGCATGTCATATGAATTATTTTATACAATACATGCTTTTCTTCTTCCTTGAAATAGCAATGCCACAAAATTGTTCCTTACAGCAAAATAAGGATACACAAGTTCTTAATATCTGCCACTGCCTTCACATGTTTAATCTAAAAGCTTTGAAAACCCCCAAATATAATCTCATTCTCTGTTTAGCTTAATGTAATAAACAGCTGCGCCATGAGCGCATGATACGCCCGTCGTCTTGTGTTTGAATTTTTATGCAATAATCATAAATAGTTTCTGACATACAGCGCGACATGCGAAAACCCCCCTTTTTTTTTTTACAAAAAACTTAATATCTCTATAATAAAATTTTGAATCAAAACCAAAAAGTATACAGATCTTTAGATTAATATAACTAAGAAGTGTGTAAAATTTTAAGCAATAATCATAAATCATTTTTGAGATACAGCGTAACATGTGAAAACCCCCTCCCCCTTTTTTTACAAAATACTCAATAACTCAAAAATAAAATTTTGAATCAAAACCAAAAAGTATACAGATCTTTAGATTAACATAACTAAGAAGTGTGTAAAATTTTAAGCAATAATCATAAATAGTTTTTGAGATACGGCGCGACATGTGAAAAGCCCCTCCCCCTTTTTTTACAAATACTCAATAACTCAAAAATAAAATTTTGAATCATCACCAAAAAGTATATAGATCTTAAGATTAATATAACTAAGAAGTGTGTAAAGTTTTAAGCAATAATCATAAATTGTTTTTGAGATACGGCACGACATGTGAAAAAAAACACACACCTGTTTTAGTTACTAAGTCCCGCAACTCAAAAAGTTTTAATTTTATTTTCACAAAAAAGTATACAGATCGTTTGACCATCATAAGAAACAACTATGTTAAGTTTCATGAAATTTAGATAAGTCGTTCACAAGTTACGGTGCGACATGTTTACGCTGGACAGATAGACGACATTTGTATACCATAATACGTCAAGTCAAAATTTGACGGGCGTATAAAAATCAAAATGACTTCTTCCACTTACATCTTGTGTAACAGCATGGAGGAGTCCACTGTATGAAATATTACTGTTAAATCTGGACACTACTTCATCAAAGGTCATTCCAACTGTAAAGTATAAGAAGACAGAACAGTTTATATCTAGTAAGTGCAGAATGACAATGTCTTAAGCTTTTTTTTCTAATTATAACTTCACTCTTTAAGTGTGTATAAAATACAACAAATTCTAATTTGCTTCTTGTTTTTTTTGTGAACTTTAAATAAGTTGACAGTAGATGGATTTTGCTATCATTTTTAGGTTCTTATTGGTTATACATACGATGACTTGTGCCTTATGTTGTATGTGTGGCGATGTTTAGTATTCAGTGTTTATTTATTTGCTATAGCCCTACATAAGCAATACAACTGTTTTGGTTCTTATACATCTTTGGCTTTCAAATATTTTCGGCATTGAGCATTCCTGATAAAGGTAAATCCAGAAAAGTGCCTCGGACGCAGGAAATTCTATGTGGTGTTTTCATTTCTAATATCAATATCAGAATTGCTAATCAACTATCAAATGAGCAATATTCGACTTTATGAGTTAATATGGTATCAGTAGAACCAGTCAGACAATTGACAGTTCACTTAATAAAGGACGAAAAATGAAGTTTACTAGATACACACTAAAATATTTTATCAATAAACACTATAAGGGTGAAGGTTTGGTACCATTAAAACGTTAAAACCCGCTGCAATTGTTTGCACCTGTCCTAAGTCAGGAATTTGATGTTCATTAGTTGTCGTTTGTTGATGTGGTTCATAAGTGTTTCTCGTTTCTGGTTGTTATATAGATTAGACCCTTGGTTTTCCCGTTTGAATGGTTTTACACTAGTAATTTTTGGGGCCCTTTATAGCTTGCTGTTCGGTGTGAGCCAAGGCTCCGTGTTGAAGACCATGCTTTGACCTATAATGGTTTACTTTTATGAATTTTGACTTGGATGGAGAGTTGTCTCATTGGCACTCATACCACATCTTCTTATATCTACCATGCCAATGAACTGTTAAATCTACCTGGTGGTACAGAGAAGAATTTTAAATGCTGACTTTCCACTTCTTCATCTACTGGTACTGTAAATGGACCTGCAATAGAATATGGTGGGTTATGGGTAAAATATTAATACAATGCATTATGGGTAGGCTACTATAAAATGCAAAACATGTAAACCTGTTAACTTGATAGAACATAATCAACAATTTTTCAACTTCTATGTATTACCAGTGATTAAATACATTTTAGAAAATAGTTCATCCCACTCTGATCTCAAAATAGAAATAGAACATAAATAACATTAAATATTTATTATTTCTAAGTTTACCGAAATTTTTTATAACTGTTTTCAAGGAATTGATGATAGACATTATAACAATGGGAAAACCCTTAATATCTGGTAACCATGATCTTTGACCATGACACTAAATAATAATATATATTTTAAAACATTACTATTTTACCTTGAATATAACCTTTTGAACTTACCTAGGCGACAACCTCTGGATGTAAATTTCATTTTAACACAGACATCCCTATTACCAGATGCTCTGACCCCATCCAAAACAGAGGCAATTAAGGCGTCCCTGTTAATGAAGAAAATATTATTATCGATAATCTAAAATATTTTTTTTTCATAATCTCCTTTGTTATAACACTTTTTATTGTACAGCAAATATCAATTTTTATGAAAAATCTCGAATATCAAATTCATGAGAAGCATGGTCGGTACTTTTTTACTTATATTACTTACAAAATTCTAAAGAAAATGCAACCACTCAAAATTATTTAACATGAGTGCCTCCCATCCAATACAATGAATATTGAAAGAGCCCTAAAACCAAAAATTTCCATGTCTACTTTTTTGTTTCATTTCCCCCCCCAAGAAAAACTTTTAAAAAAAATCCATTTAATATTCATGTTCAATAAACCAGATTTTCATTTATATATTTATAAAATCTAATTTAAAAGGGAGATAATTACGTAAATCATAGAATATATACCTGTCAGTGGATTGATAAGTTCTTATTGCACCTTTAACATACTCAACGCTGAACTTTTGTGGGTTTTCTTGGTCCCTAATAATTGCAAAAATCTGAAAATGAAAAATAAAGCTTGATTTCATTTGGAAAATTTAAACCTTTGTCTAAATGTTTGTGCAATATACAAGAGTTCAAAACAAATAGATAGAAATTTTCTTGAAAATTATTTAAAACAAGAATGTGTCCATAGTACATGGATGCCCCACTCGCACTATCATTTTCTATGTTCAGTGGACCATGAAATTGGGGTAAAAACTCTAATTTGGCATTAAAATTAGAAAGATCATATTAAAGGGAACATGTGTACTAAGTTTCAAGTTGATTGGACTTCAACTTCATTAAAAACTACCTTGACCAAAAACTTTAACCAACAAGAATGTGTCGATAGTACATGGATGCCCTACTCGCACTATCATTTTTATGTTTAGTGGACCGTGAAATTGGGGTCAAAACTTTAATTTGGCATTAAAATTAGAAAGATCATACCACAGAGAACATGTGTACTAAGTTTCAAGTTGATTAGACTTCACCTCCATCAAAAACTACCATGACCAAAAACTTTAACCTGAAACGGGACGGACGGATGGACGCACAGACCGAAAAACATAATGTCCCTAGGTGGGGCATAAAAACTTTAACCTGAAGTGGAACAAAAGGACGGATGGACGAATGAATGGACGCACAGACAGAAAAACATAATGCCACTAGGTGGGGCATAAAAATAGAGTTACCCTATGCATATCATAATATGACCAGAACAGATTAGTCAACAAGGACATTTTTCAAGCCTATTTATGAATAAAGCTACACAAAATAAATCATTGTATTTTGTTAATTCTTAAAAGGAACAATTGTATAAAATCATCTAAAGTTCGTATGAAAAATCAATAAATAATCATAACCATGAACTCTATCAAACGTTTATCTATTTGTGCTCTTTAGGGCAAAATATTGATTGAGTCAAAATCTCAAAATCAATTTCAATCTTGCTTTATGTCAAAATTATGAATGTTGTGTTGAACTTTTGTGAATTTGTCAAACAAGTCGTATGCAACAAAAATGCCTCGAACATGGCAGAATTTGACTACATCGTTTATACCAGAACAGTGTTTTTTCTGTCATGCATATAATATCTCACAAATGCATCAAAATTGCCTATATAACAATGTGTCATTTCTTTTTAAATTACAAGAGTTACTGGTATTCTTTTAAAATGAGTGGCTTTTTGTATCCCACAATGCATCAGATATACCTACATCACAGAGAGGCTTTAGTGTAGCCACATTGTATGTAGCAGGATCACGTTCAACCAAACAGGTTTCTGTTAAACAAAGTGTCCGTCTGACGGAGTCAGAATGCCGTGGAGAGATCTTCTGAACCATGAATTCTGTGTATGATGTGAGGGCTTCATCATTGCTGAAAGTAAAGTAATATTCATAAAGAAAGGGCCGATTTTGTGTATGTAATTATTTTTTTTGGCAATAATCGACTCGAAATAATTTGGTATGCATGGATTGCACTATGCATTTGGCTTTTATTTCATATGGCGGTTTGTGATATTTTCTAGTGCCACTGTTTTCCTCATGTCAAAATGTTCATGCTTGGCTGTGACAGTAATCAAATGTATATCTGTGACCAAAACAGGTAAATTATGCATTTAACGTACTTGTATCTATGTAATTTATTATTTTGTGAAATTATTCAAAATACAGTTAACCAAAATTTTTATATGTACCTGTATTTGCCAAGTCTATGAGTGGCAAACTGATCTAAACCAACAGGGTCTTTTCTCTGTTTGACAGAGATTCCTACATATGCTGCTGCTGACTCCATTACACTTTTTATTAAAGCTTCCCGCTGATCTAGAGCAAACAGATGCTGAAATATACAAACATGTTTCTGTGAACACAACCATGATATAGCTAATAGTGCTAAAAGTGGTGTTAAACACCATCAATCAATCAATCAATCTTTACATAAAATTATCCTTATCTGCTTTAACCCCTGAGTAATACAATGGGTGTTACATTCTCAGAAGTGTATGCTCATCCTTCTAGAGCTTCTGATTACACTCAATGTTTTGTGTCAGTTAGTATTAACAAAAGATGTATGAAGATATAATAAGTTAGAGAACGGAAACGAAAAATTCAGCATTTTTTCCATTTGTAAAGGGGCATAACTCTAGAATGGTAAAAGTGACGCCACCAAAATTCAAATTTGATCTGTGTTTTGTGGTAATAAGCATTGTGTATAAGTTTCATAACATTTGGTTGAAGCAAACTAAAATTAGAGAATGGAAACCGATTTCAGGACGTACGGAGGGACAAGGGTAAAACTTAATACCCCCTCAGCTACGACGGGGGCATCACAAAATGTATTAAACTCCAAAATAGAATCAATAAATGGGGATAATGCCCCAGCTTGCATCATGTGCATATAACATTATAAAGGAACATAACTCAAGAACGGTAAAAGTGACGCTACCCAAATTCGTACTTGATCTGAGTTTTGTGGTAATAAGCATTGTGTATAAGTTTCATAACATTTAGTTGAGGCAAACTTAAGTAAGAGAACGGAAACGAAAAATTCAGCAATTTTTCCATAAATTTGTAAAGGGCATAACACTAGAACGGTAAAAGTGACGCTACCCAAATTCATACTTGATCTGAGTTTTGTGGTAATAAGCATTGTGTATAATTATAAGTTCCATAACATTTGGTTTTGGCAAACTTAAGTTAGAAAACTGAAATGATAAATTCAGCAATTTTTCCATTTGTAAAGGGCATAACTCTAAAAAGGTAAAAGTGACACCACCCAATTTCAAACTTGATCTGTGTTTTGTGGTAATAAGCATTGTGTATAAGTTTCATAACATTTAGGACCAAATAACCTCCATTGAAATGTCAATGCTTATAAAACTGAATACCAAATACAATTGACTTACCATAAGTGGTGCCCTTTACACTAACCAAAACACAAACTTTAACTTGTAAACAATGTAAACGTTTCAAAGTCAATGAACCATGATGAGGGCATGGGGCCATATAATTTCCATTGAAAAGAGATTTGCAAATGCTAATACAACTGCATACCAAATATCATCGACTTACATGTTATATTGGTGGTTCCTCTTAAAATTGATGTAATCACAAACTTTAACATGTAAACTATGCAGAACATTCCAAGTCAATAGACCATGAGATGTGTCAATACTAATGCATCTACATTCCAAATACTATTGCTTCCCCTTAAACTGACATAATCACAAACTAATTCATGTAAACTAAGCAAAAGTTTCAGTCAATAGACCATGACTGAGGGGGCATGGCCAAGTAATCTCCATGGAAATGGGATGTGTAAATTATGCTAATACAACTGAATACCAAATATCATTGACCTACCACTAGTGGTTTAGCATAAACATGATAAACTGATCTAACCACAAACTAATACATTGTTGATGCAGATGCTGGAGTCGTTCACAACATACCTAAGTCTTAATTTTTGACTCTGTCAAGGCGAGACAAAAATGGTGGATCAAACCTGGTTTTACAGCTATCTAAACCTCCCACTTGTATGACAGCTGTTTATAGTTCTGTAACATGGATAAAATTAGGTGAACAACCCAAACAGATATAATTGGGATCCAGCAGACCTCTGTTCCTACCTTTCACTGGTTTACTGTTCACATGCTTTTTTAAATGTCTTCTTGATGTATTGCCCTATAAATTCTTTAAAAAGAACTAGTTTTATATCATATACTATCATTGTACAATATTATGTTGATAGTATAAATTCAGAACTAGACATACCAATCTTGTAAATCCACCATGAGCTACACATACTCCACCAGGTAAATCTCCTGACATCTACAATACATAAAATAATGAGTCAGTGTTTGAATAAATGTCTCTTCAGTGATGTTTGAGGCCTAAATATTTGAAAAATCAAAAGTCAAAACAAAGCTGATCAAACCAAAAAAAAATGTACAAGAAGATGTTGCATATGTCATCCCACAACAACTTATGAACATGTTTGTATATTATCACAAACAGATCTACAGTAATTCAGAAGGTCTTTGGTTTAATAAAAAATTGGCCCAGCATTTATGCAAACTTTGCTGATAAATTTATTACACTTCTGATTATTACTGGACAGTCAGTCTTATTACTGGACAGTCGGTCTAGGGAAACAAATCTTTTACTAAACCCTTTTATCACATGTTATATGACTTTTGTGAATGTCCGAAGGAATATTTGACAGATCATATTGTTTGTATAAAAATGCTTCAAACTGGCATCAACTTAATTATCAGGTGCTAATTACAAACCTGTATCAGTCCTTCCATATCTTTGTAGTCATAGGAACAAAGGATTTTATTGGTTGATGGATCTATCTGATCCAATGAGGCCTGGTTGACCTCCAAGATCACAGGAACTCTTGACTCTGACCAGTGTTGTTTGAATGCATTAAACCTCTGAAAGATTATGATTAAAGAAATAAGTGATGAAATTAAAAGCTGTTTCCTGTGATTTGTTTGCAAGGAAGAAACTAAATTATTTAATTTAAAAAGTTTTATAACAATCACAATTACAACCTACTTCAAGAAGTGAATACAATATGAAATGGAAAACATGTATAAAAGATATTAAAACTTGACAGTCAAATATTATTCAAATTGACATGTGTTCTAATACAAAATTGTTTCATTATTATTTGTTGGATACCAATTTTTGTGAATTAGATAGATATAGATGAACCAAAAATTAAACTGTTCAACGAAGTATAAATTTCACAAATGGTAGTATGCAAACTTTGGCAAAACTATGAAATCAAGTATCAATAAAAATATAATTATACAATTAACATAATGTAAATTCAGAAATTATTGTGAGGTTTTTACTATTGCAAATAAGGGGACTGGATGAGTATTGCAATAATAAGAACTCGCATTCTTAAATCTGACCACATATATTTGAATGCAGCTTTTCCTGTAATTGAAATGACTATTCTCAAATCTTGGTCCGTCATGTAGAAATCGCAATAGTTTATGAATGTACAGTAATTAAATAAGGATTCCCATATAGACAATAATCCATGCTAGTAACAGATGCTCTCTCTTCAAATGTTTTGTCCCTGTCATAACATGCCATTTCAAACTCCTTAAGTCCCTTGTTTATGCCTCTGTTATTATCAAATCATCAATTTTCTGAATATAAGTTATTGTCAAAAAGAGTGTTTGTTACAATGAAAAACAATAGTCAGGGCTCACACTACTTCAGAATCATAGGGAGAGGTGACTTCTCTTTTTGAAACTGAGAGGGAGAAGTGGTGAGATTTGAGAGAAGTGCTCGTTCGCTCGCGGCGCTCCAATGTTTGGTTTTTCTATAATACAAAGGGCCATATGTATCTTATTTTTTCATATTGCTCAATTTGTACCTGGGAGTACAATAAAAGTAACAATTCAAATTCAAAGTTGTTTAATTTTATCATATCTAGTTGCACAATCATATTAGTACTCTTGTCAGAAAAAAAAAGTTTAATATCTAGCAATAATAAAAAAGATTTTTTTTATATCAAAAAGGAAAAGAAAGTTGTTATTTCAATTCAAAATATACTCTGTTATGCTTGTGAAATTCAGTGGTTAAAATTCTCATTTAAAAGATATATAAATTTAACACAGTTAAGCTTGGACATAGTATAGTAGTCCCAGAGTTGAGCAATTTTAATTAATAAATTGAAACAATTCATATACATGGAAATATATACATTAATCAAGTAGATATAACCAAAAGTATGTTAATGCGCGTAGAATGCGTAATTTTTCCTTTTGGGATCAATATTCCTCTGTCAGCTGTGCCATTCATTCTTCAATAGTCATTATCGTAAGAATCCGGATTTCTGTCATAGCTGGTCTGGTTCTGATTGGTAGTTTAGTACAAATATTTCAATGGCGGACGAAGAAGAAAAATTTACAAAAATAAACGATGTTTGACACGCTATTTGGAAAGGAATATGACGTTTTTAATGCAATACATGGATAACAAATTTACTTCAGGCAAATTTCATCATGTTCTAATGAAGTAACGAACTTATTTTGACGAAAATTAGAATGATTTGATGTACGCTCTTTAACAAGTACCGGAAGTGATAACAAATTTTTATAACATGCAACCAACTTTAAAATCAATGCTTTAACCTCTTTTCTGAAGAAAATAAATCGTTTTTGTCTTTGAATTTCTTTACTTTTTACTGAAAAATTGCTGTTTCATCGACTTGGTAAAAATTGAATATTGCCGATGACGAAAGCAACTGAAAGCGAATATCGTAAACCACAGGGCGACTAGTTTTCGCTTTTGAGGGTCGGGCAAAGCGAAGTGACGGACGGGAAAGCTACATCTTCACCCTAGTTGCCTGGTAGCGAGAGCCCTGAATAGTGTGAAAGATATGAATGCAGAATATTTCACTAGATTCCTTTTAGATACTATCAAATTGTATAAAAAAAATTTACCTTTGGGGTATGGTTCACTTCAGCAAACTTGCTCCTAAATCTCTGAAATAAACAAAAAACACATTGTTAACCAACTTAAAATTCATTATTGCAGTTTAATGCTTAGTAATTATAATGATTCCATGAAAACATGTGTTCTTGTCATTATGTGGGAGGTGAATCAGATGCCTTAAGTTGTAAAAATCAGTGCCTTCAGCACAGTACATCAGAAAACATATCAACAACTCATTAGAGTATCCAGTAGGTGAGTTAAATTTTCTTCCCCTTCCCAACATGTCTTTATTTGCCGTTGGAAGTCACAATGTTCTGACTGTTCTCCAAGCCTTTCCGATTTTTGCATTTGTAATTGATTTATCAAATTATTTTTTTCTCATCCTGAACATGCATGAAATATTTGGAACGTGATGTTAGGCAAATAACTATCAATGTATAATCTCATGAAAACATGTACTATTCATACTTAAGGTGGTACATAACACTACAGGGAGATAACTCTGTAAAAATCAGCTGAACGTTTTAATTACGTTCTATTGTTAAGGAAATATTAAGCTTCTCAATGATCAAAATTAGTGTTTGTCAAACTGCTATATATCCAATGAAATTTTTCCAATAAAGTGTGTGGTTCAAGTTTTTTGAAATTTTTATATTTTTTTCAAAGGGTCAAAGTTAATATTTTGTCAAAATTTTATGAAAATTAAACGAGCCAAATTAATATTAGTCAAGGTGTTTGGTACCACCTCAATAAATAAAACTATTCTAAATTTACACAGTAAAACACCATGATAACCTTACACATTTTTTGCTACTGTCAGGTGTGTTTTGATTTCAGTTTGTGAGCGTTTTTTTTTTTAAAGATTTGTCACCCATTCACAATTTGGAGCATGCTTTTGGTAAATATCAACAAAAAAATCTGAAATGTTAAATTACCAGTGCTTCAGTTAGTAAGTCAGCTCTGTGGTCCGTAGAAAACTTCATGGAGTCTGTCTTCTTTGGTCCTTTCTTCATGGTGATGATAAACTCATTATTCCCCGGAGCTTTTACATTTGGTACGATACCAACAAACTCACTATACGGCCACTGGAAATACATAATGTTAAAACATTCTATTACTTTAAAACGATCAAAGGGGGTATCACCTTCTGAGGAAAATTTATAGCTGTAAATCTGATATAAAATATATTTCAGATGTAAATCATCCCTAGGTATGTGTGTGGAGGAGATAATTGGTTGAATTAGATTTGTCTGAACAACATGAATGGCCTGGCTCGCTAAAAAAGCTTGAAAGCATTGTCTGAACTGCAGGATGTTGATCCTAGGTATCCTCTTTAAAGACTTTTGGCGGGGTGAACACTACAATGTACCACTTTTTGTGGTTAAATCTCATTGTGTGTGTGTGTTCAAAATGCAGTTAAGTTTGCTTGTTCTTTATGAGGACCATGCGATCAGTATCACTTTTGATAACTACATGTACCTACTGAAAGGATAACAATGCGATCATGGAGCAACTAATAAAACAGGTTACGATTGTTTTCTTTCTATATCTAAAATAGCTAACATTAAAATATAAGTTCACCTAGCAAATCAGCAAAGATATGATCTAAGCATTATCTACAAACTCCAGTAATTAGCTCCTCATTTATCTTTATAGTGTAACAACAAACCTGATTAGTTATTTCCAAGGACTGTGGGTTATATGTTGTTATGCCTAGTGTACCCACTGAAAATATTCTTTTATATCTGAAATAAATAGACATGTTTATTGTGTACACCAATGTAATGCCTTAATACCAGTATAAATGCTTTAATTTCATTTTTTTCAGGTTTATTACCAACATGACCAAGATCACATTTGCATAATTTTCAACAGAAATTCATGTTTCTCGTTGGCAACCAACCTTTATACTTACTGCAGACCCTTACCCTTTCCACATATTCAAAATAAGTCAAATTTTTAATCTTTGATTAATACTTGTAGACCACAGAATACAACAATGTATGTTATACAATTTTATGTGTTCTATGTACTGTTTAACATGTAGCTATGAAAAAAATCAATTTAGAAGAAAAGGAGATGATATAAGAGGAAAACAATTGATGATTTTATAGTCAAAATTTGTAGTAACTGTTTTTTTTTCGTTTTAAATATTGATATTATGCAGTTTTACTTTCTAACATGATTACAGACTAACTGTGCATTCTTTTCTGAATCATTTGGACTAGAAAACATTCAACAAAACCAGTTTTGATATTCCCAAAACTAATTTAACTGTACTACAGCCTAATGTAGTTGAAAAGTTTGTATGCAAGTAACTAATGGTCTAGACTTAGGGTAACTGAACACTTCTCAAACCTCCTTCCTTATATCCCTTTTACATGTATGTTAATGTTTTTTCTGTCAATAAAAGATGATTCAACAGGAAGTTTATTTGCTTTTTACTTATTGATTGTTGATTAACTGATTGTGTTTAACACCACCTTCAGCACTATTGGCTATATTGTGGTGGTCTGTTTTGATTGGTGGAGGAAGATGGAGTGCACCTTTCTGCAGGAAAATTGACAATTCTAGTCATTCAAGATTAGAGTTAAAAGCACCTGCCAGGCATGGCGTTTGAGCTTGCAACCTCATTGCTGACAGGCTAGTGATGCAGTTAATGAAGTTAGATCACTCAGCCACAGAGGCCCCAATTTTGATTTTTGAAGACAGTATGGCAATCTTTGTATGAAGTAATTGACTGGGTTACTGTCTCGTTAATTTAACCTCAATTTCAATTGGTAAATACTGGGGCCGGTACTTACCACCCAACCTTGACTTTAAATCGTTTTTAACTTATACTTACTTCCCTTTCCATGAGTGCTTTGTTATGAAATAACACGCCACATCCTGGTTATCTTTCATTGACGACATCTTGTCACCTGAAATTAGATATTTTCAAACTGCATTCATGTTATTTGTGCAGTCAAATTGTACTGGCTAAAAAATAATCAGGATGAACTTAGACTGATAATGCATGTATCATATCTTATTCATCAGGTCAACAATGCTTCTTTTTTATGTGTTTAGGCCTAAACAAAAAAAATTGTTTGGTTCGGGTAACATGTCCAAAACATTTAGGTGGGGTAGGTAGGCATTTTTTTTCAGCAAGTATTAAGACATTGATAGTGCTCAGAATGACCCTCTGACAATATATAGTTATCACACAATGCTAATAAAAAAATTAGGGTCAGCTTTTTTTTTAAGGTAGGGTCGGGTTACCTGAACCAAACAATTTTTTTTTCGAGGCCTTAACTCAAAAGTACATTTATGGAAAATTTGAATGTTGTACTCATCACATTGAAATTTCATGATAGATTGATTGGCTTTAAAAGCCACTTTTTGTACTATTGTACTATTTCATTGCTGTCTGTTTTTATTGAAGGAGGAAGACAGAGTGCCAGGAGAGAACCACTAAACTTCAATAGGAAAACTGACAATCTTATCAATTGAGATTGGAGTCAAGTGCACCTGCCACATGCAGGATTCAAATTCATAACCTCAGTCATTTGTCAGTGTTGACAGGCTAGTGAAGCAGTAGTTGGACTTATTAGACCACAGTGGCCCCTCATGATGATAGAGCTATGATGCATATCTAAAGACTTATTTTCGGGAATACTTTATTTTGCGTTCAGCCCTTTTTAGCCCATTTTGCGGCGATCTAATTTCGCCATTCTCAAATTTACTTGATGTAGTTAAGTAAGGAAAAATCCAAGTTTAACATATTCGCGACAATTTATATTCACAATATTTTTCTACTCGCAAAAATAAATTGCTTGCGAAAATTAGTTGGTGTACAGTAATCAACAGTGTTTAACACCAAAATTTAAATTGCAGGCAAGGATATTGACAATAGAGTTTTTCAGCTACAGACAAGAAATAACAGAAAAACTTGATTTTGTGAAGTTAATCTTTCCTCCACGATTGTTCTCGCAAAAGAAGAGGGCGCCCTTATTTCTTGATAAATTCTTAAATCATTTACCTTACATGTATTTATATTAATATGCAATTTCAAAACCCCAAAATTTACTGATAATTATCAAAATATAATGCTTCCTTACAAATTTCTTGCATAAAGCATTATAAAGTGCAAAACATAATTGGTCATTACAAATGTAGTTCAGATTTGGTGTTTCAGACTGCTACCACTGTTTTGTCCTTCAAACATTGAACTGTTGAATACTGTTAAATTGACAACAACACTTAACATACTTAAATTAACTGCAACTTTTATTGGTCGACATGTTTTGCCAGTCTTCGGGACAAGGTGGGACCATAAAAAAGAATAGGTTGGTTTGCCCTAACCCGACCGACCCATAAAAAAGCACCTGAGTCAAAATCTTTTTTTAATCAAAATTCGCGATGTTGTTTTTTTTGCGAAGTTTTGTCGTATCCTTATCCGTCTTCAGTTTGTTGCATAGAATAACCTGATCCTATCTGACCGCTCTTTATCACAGGGCAATTTGTGTTATGTATTAAAGCCTCCAATTGATACGGATGAAAAACAACATGTCTAGTACAAATAAAGGTTGGATTAAAATCAAACCCCGTAGTTTCCAACAAATTCTAAACGCAAAAACATGGGAAGAGGTGTTTGATAAAGTGTGTGATGACGATTTCATGCTACGGAAAACTGATGAAATTTGTGTGACTGTCTCTGACCGATGGGGACACTCGTTTGAGCCCGATTTTGAGGAACCAATCCAAGTTGTTCAGGAATTTGATTCGACATTAAAATTTGATTAAAATGATATTATTCTGACAGACATGACAGAAGTTCTGACAACAGTGTTTTGTTCACGTGTTTTGTATTTGAATTTTGTATTCAAATAAACTTCTTCTTAGTATGAGTTTCCTTTAATTAGGAGACCCTCTAAATATATACATATGGAGTTTCTCCTTAACTTTAAAATTTTAAAGAATAAAACAAAAACGTTTTTTCCAACATATGTACAGCACATATAAATATAAAACAATAAAAGTATCATGCATGGCATATTTACAGGGACCTTTTTATTAATTATTTAATTTCATTTTCATAGCTTTCAATATTTGTCCAGAGCTTCTTTACATTTCTTACAATTGTTATATGACAGACTCTGTGTCGGTATATATATGTCACTTATGATAATCACTATTTACATTTGTTTGTCATTTCCTCCATTTTGAGATATATGTATATATATACGTATGTGCAAATTCAGCAATATATGTCTTGCTCATGATTTGTAGTCCATGATTTTCAATCTTTTTATATGCATTTGGAATAACATATTTCTGGTTTTGTTTTCAATATTTTCCGGGAATTTTTCACAGTTATCAATTCAAACAGCTCCTTATATTTTGAACAGTCTATAAGCAATTGTACTATCGCAGTTTTGTTTGTAAAGGTGCAGTTCCATTTTGTTGGTGTGATTTTATCAGTGATCTCTTTTCTTATTTCAGGGAAATATTTTTCTCTCGTAGTACTGAGTTTAAACTTGTTTAAAATGTGTGTCTGTATTTACAATGTAAACATTCAGAAAAAAGTGTGAACATAGAGGTGGAATGCTGAAAAAAAAACTGTTAATAGAAAAGATCTTTATACTACACATAGATCCTGGCATATACATGTATGTGTCTGACAATTTATACAAAACTCTATAATAGTCTTTCATTTTAAAAGTTGTTTACAAGGTAAAATAATTTGTTCCCCTATTTTTATCTAAAAGTAAAAAAAAAAAAGAATTTCCCTACCTACCTACCCACACACAAGACTGGTGGGTAGGGTTTGGGCAAACAGAAATATTTTTAAGTCTGGCCTGATCAAGGTATACAGAAATTAGAATCCCTGAAGTAAATGACATTATGATTTGTACTTCAGGGATTCTAATTTCTGTATAGAAGATCTAATCGACAAAACATGTCGACCAATTAAAGTTGCAGTCGTCAATTTAAAAGTATTTAATTAGTTTTATTTGACAACCCTGCATATCATCGGTGTTCACTAAAGGGAACTCTTAGCTAAACGAAATTTAGGAGGAGTTGGTTCAGCAGTTTTTTTATAGAACTGTTGAGTAAATCTAACAGTATTTTATCAATGGATGACCCCGTTTCACTTTCAAAGTGGTATCCTTTTGAATTACTTTATAAGTGCCAGATTTCTGCACAATCTCACCAACATTCATACTTTCCCAATTTCTGATAAATAACAAACATTACGTTTTCAATTGTTTTTTATTGAATCTGGCTTGTTTTAATAAACATGATAAATGTGAAGTGTTCTAGTCAGAAATTCATGAAATCTGTAGGAATAATCAAAATCACTAAGTTGATTCCTGAAATTTTCAAATTACTAAATTAAGTGATAATAAAATCACTTGTTATGTTTAAGGATGTTTGCTCCTCTGTTTCAAAATAACAAACTTTTTAAAAGACTGTTATACATTGATAGAATAAAAATAAAGGAACTTAAAAATCATAAAAAAAATGATAGGTCTGTGTCCTTGTTTTTGAAATATAATCAACTGAAGTTTGGAGGGAAATGATTCTCTCTAGATTTTCCATTGGCACCTTTTTTCTTTGAAAAGCGACGAAAAAATAACAAGGATTTCATAAGATTTAAAAAAATGGAGTTTTAAACTATTTATTATAAAATTATGAAAAGAAAAGTAGGGATGTAGGGGTTAGCGGAAAATTTTCTATGGTACTACATGGATAAAACTAGAGAATCCCGAATATCTAACAAAAAGTCAAAAACAAGAGTAGGAAACATCCTTAAGTACAATGTAGCAGCCCTCAAAGTAGCTTCTGAAATGAGGTTGCCAATTGGCCACCAGACATGAAAATTTAGTGGCCAACTCAAAATTTCAGTGGCCAGGAAATAATTTCAGGTTGCCTACGTTCTTTTTATAGCTTAACAACCCTTGTGAAATAAAAGTATTAAGTTTTTGTTGTGTTTTTATGCTGACGAGTGTAGAAAATAGTTTGTACAAATCAACTGTTAAAAACCACATGATATATTTGATATTATATTCATTGACATTCATGTATATGTTTTAAAACAGTCTGCGACGTTAAGCGGTAGCCCAAAGCCCAAATCTAGTAAAAATCTCATCGGATTCGTGCAGAAGCACTGGTGATTGCCCGATCGGTCAATTGAACATCTGAAATCGTTTGCTAAATTGTAGCCAGTATTTTATTGAATCTATGAGAACAAGTTACAAAATTGTCGCCGACCTTGTTTCCATCTGTTTACTGACGAAATCAAGAACGAGGCTCGACCATGTGCTTTCAAATAACACAATCTATAAATGCCAATGGTTTTCTTTGTAACGGCACGTTATAGTCCAAGTTGTGACTGAGTGCGGAAATACGAAGATAGATATATATAAATCATGTCAGTAAGTCAACGACAACAAATTGCTTACAAATGAACTACAAGAACCTGATGCAACAAAGCACTGACAAGATCACGCTTAAATCTAAAAGCTTGAAATACAGTGAAAATTTGTGTTACTGTCAAGCGCTCAGACGATTTTTAAAACCCGACTCTGATCAGGGCAAACTTTCCGAAAATTTAAGGTCGCCAGATTTTCAATATTCTAATAGCCTAAATGGCGACCAGTTATGAATTTTTGGTCGCCAATCAGCTTTAAAAGTCGCCCAGGCGACCATTTCAGTAGACTAAATTGAGGGCTGTGTAGTACACCAGACTATGGCCCTGAAAAACCATCAACAATATTTTGGCAATGAAACTTTTTTCTGATCTTTAAGGGTGGATTTATGGGTTCTATTTTCAGAGAAACAAACAATTTCATGCAAATTTGATTCCGACTACACCATAAATGAGCATAGTTTCCTGAAAATTTGTAAAACTAATAACCATTGGAAGCTCATGATAGACAGCTTCATATCATTTATGGACAAAGGCTTAACTTGATTGTTATATAAATTTCAAATCAAATAAATTTTCCTATATTATGCAGATTTGAAAGGCACATGCAAAAACATTTTAATCCCTAATCTTTTCCTGTCTCAGAATCAAATTATGCAATATGATTTTATTAACAAATGTAAATATATTCAGTCTTCATGTGTCAAAATCTTGCAGAAAGCAGGATAGGTTTTTTTCAATTATTCAGAAATCCATTTCGAAAGTAAATATTTAGGTCCTGTCATATGATTACGGTCCCGACTGGGGAGGGGATACTTCCGACAAATCATCCTATTTTTAAACAACATCAGAACAGACTATGCGAACCTTAATCAACTATTTCGGTGACAAGCTTCCTGCAAGACTCGAATAGTCTACAGATTAAGCACGTTAAGCTATTACATCAAAACAAATATCAATCAAAAACATCTAAATAAATCTGCATCAGAAACTTTGACTTGGCGGCTGCCATGTTTATATATTTCATTTCCTGTCATGCGCGTGGCAGATAACTCCCACATCACGTAAATCCACGACACACGCGAGACACGCACCTTGCATGGCAACGTAAGCGTCCTGGGAGATGTGTATTCCCCCAAAATGACAGGTATGATGATTGGCGTGCTAAAAGTAAATGACAGAGATCTCGTGTCTAATTGTTCATTGCATAATTCAGAATTTTCTATTAATTTTAAACGATTTTCAGGAACTGTTGAAATAAAAATAAAAAGGGGGCGGGGCTGGGGTGATTCTGAAGATTATTTGATTTATTGATTGATTTAATGATCATCAGCGGTGTTATTTAAGTGATATTGACTACCTTCTTTGTCCCAGTAGAACTTAAGATACTTATACTGGTTTAATGTGAATTTAGTCCTTGTGTATTGTTTTTGATTGACAATCATGATGATCGAGACACTCGGGGCTCGACCATGCATGGTATCCGTCTTACTTTTGGTCAACTTTTATTCTAGAACCTAGGCAAATATTATTTTTTTTATTTCAAAATGATTTGTTTTTATTGTCAGCAAAGCAAGTTGGGTCAAAGGCATATACCAGTACTTATTTCTAGTGTAGCAGATAAACATTCCACACGCTAGATAACTTAAATCTTGACCATTCAGTTCAGATAAAATCTTGTTTTTATGTTTCATAATCTAGTCACACACTATTAAAAAACATGTATTGAACACTAAACAAGGGATTGCTTAATTTTCAAGGCAGGAGATTCTGGGGTCCAGACTCCTATCACTTTTTTTACAATTCTAATTGTGATTTGAATTACAGGGCATTGTTGTAGCTGTATTTCAAAAGTTTTTAGTCGGTGTTTCAATTTTCGGTCTTGTAACCCTTTTCATATGATGTGATAAATAACATAAATACATACCCTATCATTTATTGAAGAACAAATAATGTACGTAAACATATCAAAAATAGATTTAACAAATATATGATGCATTTACGACTATTATCTGAGAAAAAAATCGACATCTGATTAGTTTCAGATGCTTATGATCATGATTCAATAAGCAACCTTGTCATATTTTCATCTTAATTTCTTAACCTTATTATGTATCACGTTGCTTGGAAAAGTGACATATTCCAGCGGCTCATCCCTACTACTCATCACATGTGGCCGAGAGTTGTCTCATTGACAACCCTACCATGTCTTCTTATTTTTATTGATTGATTGATTGATTGGTGTTTAAAGCCACTTTCAGCACTATTGTGCTATTTCGTGACAGTCAATTTTTATCGATGGGGGAAGCCGGAGAGCCCGGAGAGAACCACCGACCATCGGTAGGAAAACTTACAATCCTATTCAAATTAAGATTGGAGTCGAGCGCACCTCTGACGTGCGGCATTCGAACTCACAACATCAGTATTGACAGGCTAGTGATACAGTAGTTGGACTACTTAGACCATTCGGCCACCGAGGCCCCGTTCTTATTTATTTTTATATTGACGTATTGTATAGACAACTTATTATTGTTGTGGACTTTATGTCGTCCTCTATATGCCTTTTAATTATTTGTGTCGTTCTGTTGCTGTCTCGTTGACGTTTACCGGACATTTCCTTTTATTTGTTATCTAAATACCGCCTTGATGTGTCTATTCTTAAAATGCTAAGCCATAAGTTTTTGTTGTTGCACGAAGGGGTTTGGATGGATTGGATTCAAGAAAATTTGTTGCAACCGACAACAGTTTTCAAGTTTCTTTTTGTAATTCCACCAAAACATTAATTTTGTAAATTGATAAAAGATCGTCCCCGTTAATATCATTCGACGCGCCAAGTTATGCTAATTTAATTCATCTATTTTCGTTTTAGAAATGAATGGTGAGACAGAGCCTTACACTGAAACGCAAGTTATGATCGAAACCGAGAATAAGATTTTAGAACAAGTTCCAAAAAATACTGAATTCATAGCGGTCGTAGACGATGGGGAAGAAAATGACAGAAACCAGTTGAACGTAAAAGAACACTTGCACGTGCAAGGCAAATACGTGACGTTAGACTTGTCATGTTGCGGAATTATGAAAGTGCCGGTGGAAACATTTGAATATGAAAATCTCACAACGCTCTATTTGCAAGACAATAACCTATGTGGAATTCCAGATGATTTGATTTCATTGCAGAATTTGGAAACCCTCGTTCTTGCCAAAAATAAAATAAAAGTTCTAAGCAGAACTGTTTATTTACTTGATAAACTTGTACAACTAGATATATCTGACAATGACATTGAAGAAATTCTCCCAGATGTAGCTGGCCTTGAAAGTTTACGGGAGTTCAGGGTCAATGGGAATCGACTGGATGAAATCCCTTCACAAATTGGTTACTTACGAAAGTTGAGAATTCTTACACTTAACGACAACAGGCTAAAAGATTTACCAAAGTCCGTTTCAAACTTGGAAAACTTGAAGATTTTATCATTGGATGGAAACAGTCTTGAATTTTTGAGCCCTGAGATATGCAGAATTGACGGATTAAAGCAACTGACTCTCTCGGGGAACCAAATTACCAATTTGCCACGAGACACGGAAAATTTTCTCGCTTTAGAAAAACTCAATCTTGACGACAACGATTTTGAATTTATCCCTATTCAAGTTTTATGGTTGGAAAATCTTGCTGAGCTGGCACTCTCTGGAAATCGCCTAAAAGAAATTCAACCAGAAATTGGTCAATTGAAAAATCTAACTATTTTAGGTTTAAACAGCAATGATCTTGAAGAAATACCAGAGGAGTTGTTTCAATTGCAACGGTTAGAGGTCATTGGGCTAGAAAACAACAAAATTACCGTTATTCCTGACTCTATTGCAAAACTCTATGACCTCCGAGAGCTCTATTTAGGAGATAATCGGATCAAAGAAGTTCCCGAAAACTTATGCTGGTGCTCACAGTTGGAAGTTTTGAGCTTGCTGAAAAACGACCTATCATCATTCCCCATCGAAATCGAGAATCTTCGAAAACTGCATACCCTTGTGCTTTCAAATAATCATTTCAAGACTATACCGGATGCCATTGGTTCTCTTGTTCATCTTGAAATTTTGTCAGCAGATGGCAATGAGTTGGAGACTTTAGCAGACGACGTCAAAGGCCTTATTAGACTTCGTCAGTTGAACTTGAACAATAACAAGTTTTCGATATTTCCCAAGGTCATCTGTGAGCTCAAACTTCTGGAAGTCTTAGATATAAGTAACAATTCGGTTGAATTTCTTCCACCCGTCATTTCTCAACTTGAAAGACTTGTTGTTTTGAAACTTAACCAAAATCACATTAAATCATTTGATAATGATCTCTGTGCACTGAAAGAACTACAGGTTTTAGACATGTCAACGAATCTTCTGCAGGAAGTTCCAGAAACAGTTGCTGACATGGAGAATCTCAACGACCTTGACCTTTCAAATAACTTGTTTATAGAATTTCCAAAAACTGTTTTCTCAATACCAAACCTAGAAAGGTTAAAATTTGACCAAGAAAACGGAAATCAGCTTCCAATAATTCCAGACGAGATTGAGTTTTCAAGTATTTCTTATCTAATTCTTTCAAGGAACTCACTACGAACGCTTCCAAACACCATAAGTGGCATGCGCAACATCAAGTCGATTATCGCAGACCACAATGACATTCACACATTACCAAAAACCATCTGCGATATTCCACAGTTACAAGTTTTGCATTTGAATGACAACTGTTTGACATCTCTCCCAGAAAACTTTGATAACTTATCAAAGCTGAAGGACCTTCGTATCCATAACAATCCATTGAAAACTCCACCAATGGACGTCTGCGTTAGTGGTGTAATGCAGCCGATTGGTCGTTTCATCAGAAGAGCACTAGAACGAGAAGGTTAGTATTTGTTTTATGGAAAATTCATGAGGGTCTGGATGGGGTTTACAAAATAGAGAATAATGAGAGAAAAATGCAGAATAAATGGCAAAAAAATAAAGAATAGAGAAAATAGGCCCAAAAAGAAATAGAGAATAATGGGGTGCTGATGAATATAAAGATTAGAGAATAATTGTCAAATAAATAAAGAATAGAGAAGAATGGTATCAAAAATAAAGGAATAAAGAAACGAAGGACTCCCATCCAGACCTCTTTCATGAACGTGAGTTTTGAAATTGCTTATTGTGTCGTGATTTGTTTTCGTGCATTGAAATTGTTTAGGAGTTGGTGCTTTACTCTTATGAATTTTGCTTTAACGCTTATGAATTGAAAAATTGGAAAAAATTTAAATGTGGTTTTGGGTTAATCTTGGTGTAATGGGTATAGTGTGTCTTTTTATGTTGTAATGTTGCACTACTGTTTCAGGTTAGGGTGAAGGTTGGCGCCTGTTAAAACGTTTAAACCCGCTGCATTTGTATGTACATGTCCTAAGTCAGGAGCCTGTTGTTCAGTGGTTGTCGTTTGTTGATGTGTTTCTTAAGTGTTTCTCGTTTTTTTTATATAGATTAGACCGTTGGTTTTCCTGTTTGAATTGTTTTACACTAGTCATTTGGGGCCCTTTATAGCTTGCTGTTCGGTGTGAGCCAAAGCTCCGTGCAGTGGCTCCGTGTTGAACTTGAAGGCCGTACTTTGACATATAATTGTTTACTTTTTACACATTGTGACCTGAATGGAGAGTTATCTCATTGGCACTCATACCACATCTTCTTATTTCTATATCTATTTATATATGGTTTGGATTTATCTTGGTTTAATGGGTATATCTATCTATATATGGTTTGGGTTTATCTTGGTTTAATGTGTATATCTATCTATATATGGTTTGGGTTGATCTAGGTTTAATGTGTATATCTTTTATATATGGTTTGGGTTTATCTTGGTTTAATGGGTATATCTATCTATATATGGTTTGGGTTTATCTTGGTTTAATGGGTATATCTATCTATATATGGTTTGGGTTTATCTTGGTTTAATGGGTATATCTATCTATATATGGTTTGGGTTTATCTTGGTTTAATGGGTATATCTATCTATATATGGTTTGGGTTGATCTAGGTTTAATGTGTATATCTATCTATATATGGTTTGGGTTTGATCTTGGTTTAATGTGCATATCTATCTATATATGGTTTGGGTTTATCTTGGTTTAATGGGTATATTTATCTACATATGGTTTGGGTTTATCTTGGTTTATTGTGTATATCTATATATCTATCTATCTATATATATAATGTGCAAAAATGCGTCCGAAGCGCTTTTCAGATCGATTTACCTTCAACAGGAACGCTACAAAAATGATATCCAAGAAGGTACAAATATTTGATGATCTATATGTCGATCAAAATGGACCAAAGTATAATAGGCAAAACCGTCTAATGCAGCTTTTCCTGCCGGAAATGGACCCTTAGTTTCATGATAACTTCTTATTTACCCACGTATACAATTTAAGAAATATTCATGTCATTGTCGAAGCATTAACTACAGGACTATTGATATTCCCGGGGACTAACAATCCTCCGGGAGTGGTATCGACCTGGTGCTAGTAAATATGAATAACACAGAATAAATTTGGTTCGTCCGAAGTTTTCTATATAGAATAGCCAAAACCATATGAAATAATTTATAAGATTTTATATTTTCTTATAAATTGATTGGTTAAAGGCGACTAAACGTACAGCGGCAAATATTACATACAAATTCAGGATCGATACATTATTATGAATCATAGAAGACTAGTCTGCGCTCGCGGCGAACACTCTTTCTAAATATAGGCAGTGGAAGTTATTTTAAAATAACATTGAATGTATCAATTTATCAAACCTGATAATACCTGTCTGAGAGCTGTCTTACAGAACTTTTCATTTTTTTGTATGCATTCACGAGTGATCATGACATTTGTGTTTGTGTAATTAAAACTGATTAACAGTGTTTTCCCATTTTATATTGAAGTGACCTAATTATATAATTGGATGTGTTTGTAGATTTCTTCATTAACAAATTTGAAGGTAAAATTATTTCTATTCTTATTTAATTTTTATAGGAAGACATACATTTATTTTACTTGGTCTTGCAAGACAAAATCGCTGTCTTGTGTTTTAAAAAACACCCCTTAACTACAATTTATTTTTATATTTAGGTATATTACATCATAGCTTGAGAAAAGTATGCTCAAATTATTGTATTCACTTTAGTAATCATTGTTCTGAGTATTTTAAATGTTGCACAATTATAAAAGATCGACAACTTTTTTAAAGTATATATTGACAAACCTACACTGAGACTTGTAGCGTTTTTTCAACCAACACAATTGACTAAATTCAAACCAAATGTCAGCAAGGATTTATATAGCACTTATAAATCCCTGCTGTCAGTGAAGTTGATCTTTAAATTTTGAAACACATGGTATGTTTTTCTATAAAATTTAAATTTAAAGGAACAAATGTATAGAAATTATGTAAATAATCTTAATATGGGCTAGTTCTTAGAAGGAGCTTAATTGTAAATTATAAAATGCTTCGGCGAACTAATATTTACAGTACATTTGATCTAATCTGGTTTTTTTTCTATTGGCTAAAACATATGCCACGTGGTGTTGTCACAAACTTTCATATTGTATGAAAACCAGTTACACGCCACCAATGATATCTGATTAACAATAGGTAAATCTATTGAAACAAAATCAATACTATATACTAAGTATGACTATTAATATTTGTTCTTGAATTAGATATATATATATATATAACATTAATTCACATTTATTGTTGATATGAGAATTGAAAGGAACTTATAGAAGTATATTTCGATAAGAAAACATTGACACTGCACATTTTGAAACAAGAAGAGCTTTTGCTCTTCATGCAAAATGTACTCCTTCACTTTCGTTCATATCAATGATAACTATCAAAATTTGCATTCACTTCTTATTTGTAATGCTCGGCTCTGTCATGAACCCATGCAGTTTAACGCCCTTATATGAATGAATCCCAACAAGAAAACGAACCAAACGACATCTAGAGCGCAACAATATACTGTGTCTATACGTCATGTTTAGCTCTAAATGGTCTCGTCCGCCACGAAATAGCCACTAGAGGTGAAAGTGGCGTTAAACACCTGAATCAATCAATCAAATAGTCTCGAGTTCATAAATGTTGTGAGAAAATCAAACAGAAAATATCAAAGACCTAGCTGCAATAAACACAAAATTATTCTGTTTGTTTTGGTTAAGAATATTCTTTTTGTTTTTTTCAAATATCCTCTAAACAATAAATATTCAAAATTTCCTGAAATCTACCAAAATTGCAGTTTGAACCACATTAAGGCATTTTTGGTTTGGTTACATGTTAGAAATAAGCCATAACATTGTAAGAAACTTCAAATTACACACACGAAGCTTTGATTTGGGGGAAAGATAGTGTAACTGAAAAATATTTCTGGTATGAAATGAATTAATGGCAAGTTTGCTATACTCTAACAGGGGCGTAGCTACCCGGAGGTACGGCAGCACGTGCATCCACGTCGTTTTCACAGAGAGAGAGAGAGTGAGGGACAAAGTTAACATATAGGAATTGGTCTTTTTATATGTATGCATTTTATAAACTTCACAAAGAATAAAAGCAAGAGGAATACACATGCAGTGGAATTTTTAATCTTGTAAGACATGTATGTGTACAATAAATAAAATTAAGAATGGAAATGGGGAATGTGTCAAAGAGACAACAACCCGACCATAGAGCAGACAACAGCCGAAGGCCACCAATGGGTCTTCATTGCAGCGAGAAACTCCCGCACCCGGAGGCGTCCTTCAGCTGGCCCCTAAACAAATATGTATACTAGTTCAGTGATAATGGACGTCATACTAAACTCCAAATTATACACAAGAAACTAAAACTAAAAATGATACAAGACTAACAAAGGCCAGAGGCTTCTGACTTGGGACAGGCGCAAAAATGCGGCGGGGTTAAACATGTTTTTTGAGATCTCAACCCTTCCCCTATGCCTCTAGCCAATGTAGAAAAAAGAAACGCACAACAGTACGCACAGTAAAACTCAGTTTAAGAGAAGTCCGAGTCCGATGTTAGAATAGGAAACAAAAGAAAATAAACAAAATTACAATAATACATAAATAACAACAGACTACTAGCAGTTACTGACATGCCAGCTCCAGACCTCAATTAAACTGATTGAAAGATTATGTCTTCATCATATGAATATCAGGCACAATCCCTCCTGTTAGGGGTTTAGTAGTATACCATCATAAAATATATGAGAAGAACATAACCCGTGTCATGCCAACAACTGGTTTTAGAATAAATATGTTTAATTCCGATGCAAAGACCCTATACATACAACTGGTGTAAACTTAGAGGAACTTTTTGTATTACGGGCATTGTTTAGAAAATACCAGCTACATAGTTGTTGGTACCACAACCATACCGTATACTCGCTTTGAGTGCAAAAAAAAACATAACCCCTTTAGGGTTAACAAAAAAACTTGAAAATTATTATTTTCCGCTTCGCCCCATAGCACACATCTTACTAGAATGAAGACTCTTCAACTCGTATCGATCCGGGAATAATGACTGTTACCTTGTGAACTAGTTCAATATTGACTAAGTATGTAGGTCTTGACAACACGAATAGTTCATTTTCACATCATGTCAACGTATCTCTCCTGTGTGCATGTAATATTTGCTACCGGACATTAATAACCATTCAATCAATCAATAGTTTCCGTTTACTAGTAGATGAGAAGTTGGAACTGCTGCTATTATAAAAAAAAGTACACATTTTCCAGTACATGTTTTACGTTTTTATTTATTTTACAAAAAAAAATCTTTTATATAGATTCGATAATTCGAAGTCGTTTCTATATGGGCCGGCTATACGAATGGTTGATTGTTAAGCCATTTAAATAAATTGTTAATTCTAGCTCGTTTTACTGGACTATTAGGCCATTCAATTTTTAAAAGAACTGTCTGTCCGAGTAGGACACTAAACTGCTGATTCTTGTTCGAAAGATACACCAAACTTTTATTACACGTATCTTCACTGTTAACATCTAGATATTGCCATACAACTGGTCAAATGCATATGCATTTGTTAATTAGCTGGCTAATTAAAAAGGCAGATCATGATAAAGATCGTGATCAAAGTACTATTTCCTCTGAAAAAGTTCATTAATTTCAACTTCGAATATTCCTAACTACGTAAAATTCGAAATTCCCATCTCTCTCTTGTAGAGTTTACCCACAAAATTTTTAAACATCTAAATATATATGTTAAGCAAAATATATGAGAATGTGTCCACCAAGTATTTGGTATCCATGATGTTTATGCTAACAGAAACTCCACATATAGTATTGTGTTTATGTTTATTGTTTATTTTTTTTAAATCTACTTTGCTCAATACAAATACTAGCATATGGAACAAATCTCCGTGATTTTAAAAGCTTTCACGTACAAAAAACGCAAGCGACAATGTTAAGTCTTCATTCGACTCGTAGTTGACCAAAAAACCACAACAAAAATGTCCAAGTTTTATTTCGGTTGTGATTGTTTTGAAACGCTATATATGCGGAGTAAGTCAGGGAAGTTTCCTGTGCAAAAATACCTATCGGAGACATTAAAAGTTTACTTTCTTTTTTGACTTTTTCATATCAACTTCGAGTACTGTCACAGAAGCTTGCCAGATACTGACATTTTATGTCACATCCAGCAATGTTATTAGAATTAATAAAAAGAGGCCCTCTTCATTGCAAAATTTATTTCGCAGTTCAATCCGAAATTGTTCATTTTGCAAGTTTTTATGATAAAAGTAGCATGTAGTGAAGAGTTATTTGTACGAAAAACATTTGTCAATGATACATCGCACCTCACATGAGGGTCTGGATGGGGTCCCTTGTTTGCTATTCTTTATCTATTTTGCTCATTATTCTCTATTCTTTAATATATTTAAGCATCCCATTATTATCTATTCTTATTTTTTGGCACTTTGTTCTGCCCTTTTTGTACATTATTCTCTATTCTGTAAACCCTACACAGACCCTCTCACATGTACGGCTGTCAAGAGAAATCCCCAAATTCATGTGTCATATACATTTTTTCTCTTTTCAGAACTTCTTTTAATGAAGATGATCAATGTTATCAAGACTTATTTGAACAAGAACGAGTTGCGATACCTGATGAAGAAGTTCCGGTTTCCAGAAGAAAAAATGGCGGAGCTCGAGCAGACGTATTATGGGAAGGACAAATTGCAAGATAGAGTGTATCATGCCATGCTATTCTGGAAAGAGTTTAAAGGCCCTCTAGCAAATATTGAAGAACTTATTCGAGTTTTTCATGTCATTGGTTACGATGACCTCTGTCTTAAGTTACGTGCAATGAAGATATATGCACAGAGGTTAAGACTTTAAAAAATGTCAATTACGCGCGAAAATTGAAGGCATTATAGGACTGACACTAAATTATATGCGAACGATTTATATAATTATACTGCCAAACATTTTGTCTTGGAAACATTTCACTATCTCTTTGCTTAAATATAAATGATGTAAATGTTACACTGTGTTTAAAAATACCCTTGAAAAGTTATGAAATATAAAACTTTTCATCAAATATTTTGTATGATACAAGAGTTGACATTCTCATTTGATCAAAAACAATATATAACTACACTGGCGAGTATTTGGTTATTATTCGGATAATCTTCTCTTCTCAAGATTGAATTGATTGCCATGAACAACAAAATGCATGTCAAATGCAGTTGCCAAATTGTAGATAGTCACACAAGCTCTTTATATCCTAAATAGTTTTTGCTACATAGATGAATTTGTTTTAATCTTTCTTCTTTTCTTTGCCAAGATCAAGAGAAATTTAAAAGGAAATATTATCATGAAATTACTATCAACGAAATTGTCTATCTCATCGTTAAAGACCTTCAAGTGGACGTAAAGATGAAGAACTGCAATACAAGCATTAGACTTTTAATATGTATTTATTTCTTAATGTTACATTGGACTGTTGTCAATGTTACATCCAACCCATGTTCTTTTAAACCTGCAATAGGCGGATTTAGTTTGTTGGAAGTTGGACAGGGGCCCCGGCCCCCTTATGGAACTAAATACATGTATATGGTTACTGCATGGACATTTTACAAGTCTAACGTTGTCTTGTCGATGAGATTTCCCCTCCCCTTTAAAAAAAATCTGGATCCTCACCTTGTAACTAAGAATGCACACTCGAGTGGATTTAGACATATCCACCTGTCTATTGTTGATGATTATATATTGACTTCTAGGTGTTGTTATTTGTGTCGTTGGATTACTGTCTTTTTATTCACATACAGCATGGGTATTGAATTTTCCGTTCTGCTTCTTTTATTTTCAATAGTCTTCTTGAATAGACTCTCAATTGAAATGTTTCATATTTTTCATGTCAGGGCCTTTTATAGACGACTATAGGGATGGGTTTTTCTCATTGTTGAAGGCCGTAACGGTTGTCTATAATTGCTTACATCCACTTCATTTGAACTTGGGTGGATAGTTGTCTCATTGGCAATCATACCACATCTCCTTATTTCTATATCAACTTTTTGACACCTTTCCACCTAACCTTTGGTTAAGTATTTTATTTTGAACCTTCAACGGTTCTTTCTGTACATAAAAGTAAGCTACAATCAAGAAAGTGTGTGTGCGTGTAAAGTAAGATAGGTTTTTTTAAAGAATTGTTTTTGCTATTTGTGATGTTTTTGCTGGAGAGTGTATAGTGCTACATTTTCAAATGAACATAAGTTTTATTTAAGTCTCTTCATTTTATGTCTCATATCAGAGAGAGCTAATTGCAAGCTATAGAATCATTTTCAAAGCTGCTATGTGAGGGTCTGGATGGGGTTTACAGAATAGAGAAGAATGGACAAAAAGTGCAGAATAAAGGGCCAAAAATAAATAATAGTGAAAAATTGACCATAAAAATACAGAATTGTTCACACAAGAGTTGGCCATTTGAAATGGTTCATGAGGGTCTGGATGAGGTTTACAGAATAGGGAATATGGGCAAAACTTAAGAATAAAGGGTAAAAAAAGTATAGAGAAAACTAGGCAACACTTGATGGGGTGCTAAAATATTAAGAATAGAGAATAATGGGCTAAAAAATAATGATTACAGAAATGAAGAACCTCCCATCCGTCTGTTGCTGGGCTTTCCTATTTGCTTTGAGTTATTCAGATTTTAAAGGACTAAGTATTAGACAAACTGTTATCTGTATTGTTAGTTCGAAGTATAGATGTATATTTTACTATAAACATTGTTTCCATTTATACATTTATGTATGTGTGTTTCTTTACTTTTATATTGAAGCCTTTTCTATTTAGCCATTTACAGTTAAATGTAGAATAGTGCAATGTTATTTAAAATTGTTATTCAAAATAAAAAAAAGAGAACATTTAAAATTTGTCTTATTTTGATAAAAAGTGCCCTAACTACATTCCAGCTTCGTGAGTTGTTTATGGTTTGCAGGCCGAGTGATACATTAGTCAAAACGACCCGGTCTGATGTTAACGTCGCAATTTCATGGACGTGTTATAAATCCTGAATCTTTTTTTATGCCCCCGCAACTAAAAGTTGGGGGGGGGGGGGGGGCATACTGTTTTACCCCTGTCCGTCTGTCCGTCTGTCCGTCCTCTCGTCCGTCCCATTATGGATATATAGTTATTCCAGATAACTACTCCTACAGTTTGAATGCTAGGCAGTTTTCACTTTGCTGGCTGTTTGTACATAAATTGAAGGTGTGCCTGTTGTTAGGGTTTTGATTTTTTATTAATATTTGCTCTTTTGGGAGATAGTTGAACTTTATCATTTTTTTTAGTATTTACTTGCTTAAGAGGTGCATAGGGTTTCCGGATAACTCCTCCTACAGTTTGAATGCTAGGAAGTTTTCACTTTGCTGGCCTGTTTGTACATATATTGAAGGTGAGCATGTGGTGAGGGTTTTGATTTTTTTTTATATTTGCTCTTTTGGGAGATAGTTGAACTTTGTCATTTTTTTTAGTATTTACTTGCTTAAGAGGTGCATAGCGTTTCCGGATAACTCCTCCTACAGTTTGAATCCTCGGAAGTTTTCACTTTGCTGGCTGTTTGTACTTATGTTGAAAGCTAGTGTGCATGTGGTCAGGGTTTTGATTTCTAGTTTGGGAGATAGTTGAACTTTGTCATTTGTGGAGTATATGCTTGCATAAGAGGTGCATAGTGTTTCCTGATAACCCCTCTTACAGTGAACCATAGACCTATGTGCTCACATGCTCAACTTTGTGTATTTCAAAATAACACTTTGCATCTGCCGGGTATCATTTGTGTCTCCCAGACACAATAATATCTCAAAGAAAGTCCTACGTTAACTTTGTTATAATAAATATGTGTTTTTTTGGTGAGATATCGAAATGCTTTTGTCCTTCAAAGACTTTGGTATTTGTTAGTTTTTACTAGATTTATTTATAACTTTATTTGGAGTTTGAGCTAATATAGGACTTGACATATGTTAAATAAACATTTGTGTATACGTTGATACTGTATGGTGACTTCTTAATGCTAGTACCTTTTGCAATTTAAATGTGTTGTTGGGTTGCAGTTGCATTGATGTATTTCCACATCTCCTTGTATTCACATGCAACAGCATTTGATGTTTTATACATTGATAATATTCCAAGTGTGGTGATGGCGTTGGATGGCTGTTTAACGTCCAGTGACAAATTAAACTCAGATTCAGGACAAGAACATGTTATTGCGACAGAATATGAAACTCGCTTTGTACTATACCGACACGCTCGACGCGATCGGCAGTCATGTTAAAAAAGAAGTGTAATGTCTTTAGTGATTTAAAAGACAGATAAAAAAAGACAATTTCTAGAATATTTGGCAAAAAAAAAAAAAAAAACCTTCTTAATCTTTTCAAGCACCTGATTTCAGATTCAATTTTTGATAGAGTTCATGTTTTATATCTTTATTTTTTTATGTAATGTTTTGATGGCATTTTTTTTTTTTTGGTCTTTATTTTGCTATGTTGGTGTCTGGTATTTTCTTACATATGATGAAGATTGTCCCTTTCTACCTTCGGGAGACAATTTTATAAGTTTATAATTTGTTTGTGTAACTCTATGTTTTTAGTTTCTTCTGATAAATACGGGCCTCACTTTGCATATTCGATTATCACAATTAATATGAGCGACAATAAAACAACACCAACACGTACCTGAAATATTTAGAAAGCGATGCTTTTCAAATTTGAAGGAAAAATTCAACAGAACAAAGTTCTATATGGAAGTGTTCATATACTTTTACGTACTCATTTTATAAATCAATATGGAACATAAATAATGAAATATAAAATTATCACTTTAAATAAGAACAAAGGATGATGATGATGGATGGCTGGATAACGTCCAGCGGTAAATTAAATGCACATTCAGGACGAGAACATGATAATGCGAAATGAATTATATTAACCCTGCTTTGTACTAGATCGACACACTGATCCGATTTTTTAACGTGCTAGTTCACAAGACTTGTCACCCTACCCGCACACATTATTCTGACGGCGAAATATCAGAGGGTCTGGATGGGGTTTCCTTCATTTCTTTATTCTTTAATTATTTAGACCATTTTTCTCTATTCTTTATTGATTTTGCCCATACAATATTCTCTATTTCGTAAACTGAAGATTAACCAAGAAAAGGGCATCGGATGCACCAAATTTATAAAGTGTTATTTTTACTAGCACTGGGTCGAGACCTCTGCTATTGTATGAACCGTTAGTCCCCGAGGGTACCATTAGACCAGCACGGGGTCAAGACCACTGCTATATTGTATGAACTGTAAGTCCCCGAGGGTAACATTAGACCAGCAGTGGGCCGAGACCACTGCTATACGTATGAACTATAAGTCCCAGAGATTACTATTAGACCAGCACTGGTTCGAGACCACTTCTATTGTATGAATTGTAAGTCCCGAGGGTACCATTAGACCAACAGTTAACACTTTGCAACTGACGTTATACACGTCTCTAATTTTCCTTTGAATTTTTAAGAAACTAAAGGATTCAACTCCCTCGGGAAAAGTTAACTTTACTTGCCTTAATGTATTCTTGTTATGTATCTTTGGTCATATCGCTCTTCAAATTCTTCTTTGCCTCTTAAATTTTTCGTTTCAGAAATATGCAATGTTCCAAAAAAAAAATCAATTGCAAAAATTTATGAATTTCATGCGTCCGAAGCGCTTTTCTAGATTTACCTTCATCAGGAACGATCAAAGCCGAATATGTGAATGCCAAGAATGTATACGAACCAAAACAGTTGGAGAGCTTTATGACCAAAAAAAGGACATAAAAAATAGTCAAATCTATCCAAGGTCAACCCTGCCCGAAGAAGTTGAAATATTCGTTTCTTTATAATTTCTAAATTTCTAAATGGATAATTCTGGAAATGTTTGTTATAAATCATGTCAGTATCGAAGTACAAATGTATAACGTGCAATTGTTTTTCATTTGTCTAATATTTTCTTGTAAATACCTTTTGTTTGCATTTTTGATATGGCATACACGGAATATCTTATCAGGCCAACAGGCTATAACGGGGCTAAAATCGACTTTGCAATGAGAGGATGGGTTATATCAGCCCTATAGTGCAGAGTTCGTATCAGCTCTCTTTCGGTTAAATAAGTTGTGTAGAGTTTGCCTCTTCCGGTTAATAAAGTCATGTAAATTTTTCGAGACTTACTGAAACTGACTCTACCGTTTACAAACTAAATACGACATCATTTATTTTAAAGTCTGATATTGTGATATTGTTGCTCAAAATCCGTATTTCTTTTCCTACATCAGGTTTATAGTAGCTGTCGTATTGGAGCTTGAACTGTTGACTTTCAATGCGTATTACTTCTAGCAACGATCAACACTGAACAGTCCAAATAGGACAAACATTTGGCAACAAGATACCCACCAAAAAAACCGGAGAGAACCAACGAAGGATTATCAGTTCTTGCACAACTATAGTGGCTACGCCGTGTTGCTTATTAGAAATACAAATCTGACATTACATCGAATTCGATGATGGAATTGCGGGTACGGCAAATGTCGATGATGGAATTACGGGTAAGTCAAATGTCAATGATTGAATTACTGGTACGTCAAATATCGATGATAGAATTGCAGGTAAGGTAAAGGGAAATCTTCACTGGTCATCTGTTACACCAATATTCGTAAACAGTAAACCAAAATAGTTCAGTTCTTTGATCATACATGTATTGCTTTACAGGAGGAAATTAACAAAAAAGTCGTCTTTCATCAAACAATTAAATTATATATAAAAATATGATAACGCCTGTATCCTTAAGTGGTGAAATGTTACGCCTTTAAAATGTTCGCACGTCATTTCGAATAAATAAAAATAATTAACTTAGATATATATATATACTACATTTAGAAAGAATGACGCCCAACATGTTATATCTTAAAGAATTTCAGTACGGTTGGTGAAAGTGGAATAATTTTGAAGGAGATGGATTTAATTTTTATACTTTTACTCATGACAACCTTATCGACGACGAAAGTAGATTCCTTTTTGAGACTTCCAAAGGATGCTGATATTGAGTTCAAAGGTAAGCTTAAATAATTCCTAAAACAAATCCGGCCATTCTTTAACGAGCTCTGATTTAGTATGGCTTTACTTGCAGCTGGTATGTTTTTTGTTTTTGTCTTTAATATCCGTATCAATGAGTTAAAGAGTTTCTGAGGTAATTTTTATTATTTGTTCTTCCCCATTTACGTTTCCTATCATGATTTCCTTGATAAGAGTATTACTGCATACAACATGTACAAGGAAGCTACTGCATCAGGTGTTCAAAGAGGTAAAATTGAAGTCACCCCTTCGAAAGTTTGACAGACGCCATCATGGTTTGATTGACCGTTATGGAATATATGCATCACATATGACAACTGATATGTTCGATTTGTCGTAACCCCAACCCCGTTATCCTCTCTCGAGTGTGACACTACTGAAAGTGAATTATTACCGTATTTTTTCTTGCTTCACAGCAGCACGACGATAAGGAACTGTTTACCTTTTCGGAAAACATGAGCTCACTCCCAGTTTTTGATGGGGTTCTTGTTACTTAGTTGTTAGTTTTCTATGTAATGTTAGGTTAACGTTGTTTGTCTTTTGGTCGTTTTTATTTTTTGGCCATGCTGTTGTCTGTTTTTATTTTTTTGGCCATGCTGTTGTCTGTTTTTATTTTTTGGCCGTGCTGTTGTCTGTTTTTATTGGACTTTTATTGAAATCAATGCACCTTGATATTTTCGCTCTCTTAATTTTTATAAAAATAAAAAAAAGTGTAGAGTTGAGTACTAAAAATTACTTTGTTCTACATCTTCTTATACACCCTCGGCTTTCAAATATT